GTACAAGAGCAAAATCAATTAGTGCACAAAATGTATCAGTAAAAGGCAAGCTCATGAAGCAAGTAGTGACAAGATAAATGTTTTTCATTTAATGCATAATGCATTCATTTTAAACTAAAGCACCCAAAATGGGGGCATTGGAATTTTGCATGGTATAGCGATTATTCATTGAATAAACATAGATAGTAAAGTCGGTTGTAGCTTTGCCACAAGCCCTAGTTTTGTTGGTGTTACCAGCTGAATATCAAGGATACCTGTCAAAGCTACCGCTGTAGTTTTTAGGTTTTATGGCACAGACTTGATAGAAAGTCTATTTTGAAAATGCCGGTACCTCATACAGACAAACAAGCACCATTAGAAACACAAACGTAGTTTAATTAAGAAAGATGGAAGGGGTGGAAGCAAACAGATGGATTAATTAAAATGAAAAGCTTGGCACCCGTTTTCTATAGATGTTAATGAAGTCGTTTCTTTGTGCGTGAAAGCGAAACGTATGAATGTATTGCGTAAGCAACGCACCCAAAAAACTAAAGGTGCCTCAAAGCAGTGCGAACGTTGCATGAAATCGCTCTTAAACACACGAAGTACAATACAACGAAAGTGATCTTTCATTGAGAAAAGTTTATAAAATCGGCTGCCTATGAAATGCAACAGCTCGGATTTTCTATTTCATGATATCATCATTGCAACCAGACACACATCAATGTTAGTATGAGGTTAATCTAGAGAGACACTGCTTAGTATGCATGCTTACATCTTCAAATACCTTTTATTTTCTGAACATTTCTGAGGAAGATGCAGAAGTGCCGCCTGGACCATCTCGTATCTGAGAATACCTAAAAAACATTCCTATGGCCATTTGCTAGAGTTGTCTGTACATGACAACTTGCATTTAAACAGTCTCATTAAAATCTGTGTGTAGGATTTACAAAAAGGTCAGCCTTGTTAGAGGTTATATTAACAGGTAAAGGCTGCCATTCCAGGAGGGATAAAATAGATACACAACCGTAATTAAAAGAAGAAACATGAATTAGGATCGGTTTAAGATAAAAGTTTCTTTATGAAAAAGATACATCTCAAGATGATGTCGAGACAATTACCTTTCATTTTTCAAATTACAGTAACTCCCATGCAAGGGTTACTTCACTGACGACGAGTGGTCAGTTGTTGGCCGACATACGTGCGTGTACAATCGACGACGTGGCGATACGACGATGTTTCGGTGACATTGTTCCACTATGCGACGATGTGACAATCCAATGATGCAATTATACAGCGATTCCAATATGCGATTATGCCATTCTCCGAATATCCAACGATGCTATTATGCCACTACTATTCGACGATACGATGAACGACGATGCGACTATTCGACTATGCAACAATGACATGATGTGACGATACGAGGATGCGATTATACGACGATACGACGGTGCGACACCGTGATGATGCGGCGATTCAACATAGACGGCGTAGACGGTTCAAGACGATGCTACAACACGAAACTGAGACAATGCAATGACACGACAATGCGATGATGCGGCAACACGACGATGTGGCGATGCCACAATGTGATAATTCGACGAGAATGTGACAATTCCAGGATGCAATAATACGACGATACGACGATGCGACAATGCGACGATGCAACACTGCAACGACGCGGCAATGTGCCATAGACGGCGTAAACGGTTCCAGACTCGAAATCAATAATGCAACGACGCTACGATATGAAAATCAGACGATACAACGACATGACAATGCAATTATGTGATGATGTGACGATGTGGCAATACGAGGATGCGATAATATGACGATACAGCGATGCAATGATGCGGCAATATGAGGATGCAATAATATGACAATACGACGATGCGACAATACGACGATTTGGTGATGCAATAATACGACGTCGGAAGTATTCGACCATACGACGATACAACTCATCGATGCATTAATACGGCGATTTGACTTTTCGACTATGCAACAATGAGGCAACGCGACAAAACGACGATGCAACGATGCCGAAATGTGAAAATTCTACGATGTGACGATACGATAATGCAATAATACGACGATACGACAATGCAACGACGCAACACTGCAACGACGCGGCAATGTGCCATAGACGGCGTAAACGGTTCCAGACTCGAAATCAGTAATGCAACGACGCTACGATATGAAAATCAGACGATACAACGATATGACAATGCAATTATGTGATGATGTGACGATGTGGCAATACAAGGATGCGATAATATGACGATACGAGGATGCGACAATACGACGATGTGGTGATGCAATAATACGATGTCGGAAGTATTCGACCATACGACGATACAACAACTCATTGATGCATTAATACGACGATTTGACTTTTCGACTATGCAACAATGAGGCAAACGCGACAAAACGACAATGCAACGATGCCGAAATGTGACAATTCCAGGATGTGACGAAACGATAATACGACGATACGACAATGCGACGATGCGACACTGAAACGACGCGGCAATGCGCTCTAGTCGTCGTAAACGGTTCCAGACTCAAAATCAATACTGCAACGACGCTACAATATGAAAATTAGACGATACAACGATAAGACAATGCAATTATGTGATGATGTGACGAAGTGGCAATACGAGGAGGCGATAATATGACGATACGAGGATGCGACAATACGACGATACGAGGATGCGACAATACGACGATGTGGTGATGCAATAATACGATGTCGGAAGTATTCAACTATACGACGATGCAACAACTCATTGATGTATTAAAACGACGATGTGACTAATCGACAATGCATCAATGAGGCAATGCGACAAAACGACGATGCATCGATGCCAAAATGTGACAATTCCACAACGTGACGATACGATAATGCGATAATACGACGGTGACACAATACGACAATGCAACACTGCAATATGACGATGCAACAACTCGATGATGTAAAAATGTGACGATGCAACGATTTGATGATGCAAAAATACATCAATGCCACTTTCCAACTATGCCACAATGAGACAATGCGACGATACAACAATGCAATTGTACGACAATGCCACAATGTGACAATTCAATGATGTGACAGTGAGACAATACATTTATTCCACTACGTGACAATGCAACAATGCAACGACACGGCGATGGCACTGTGCGACTGTGTAACGATCTGAGCATGCGCCATACACGACGTAAACGGTTACAGACAAGAAATCAAAAATGCAACATTGCGACAATGCGACGGCACGAAGTGGCTTTACATCTGCACAACGCTATACTCACCCTTGTTGAAAAATGAAAATTAAAAATCCTTAAATTTGTATTCTTTGTTGTCTTTGAAGCGTAACAGAAATTTAGGGTTGTAGCTGTCTGTTATCGTGGCAACCTTTACGATCAAAGAACTACCCAGTCCATTGTGTCTGGAAATGTTATACTTCCAAACATTAGGTACCGTTACACTACCATTATAGTAGTGGCTGATGTAGCCTTTGTCTCCCAAATCGCCAGTTCGTCTCTGAAGCAGTGTAGAGATGCATGAGCTTGATGTCGTGCAGATAGTCTGTCAGGCCCGTCATTGCAAAAGTACAGGATTGTGTCACACGATGACAGGAATATGCATGCAGGACCACACATACTAGACCCGTAATGTGGAGACAAAAACTTCTCATTCCACGTTCCTTGTGAGGAAAACGCAATATGATCCCTTAATTAAGCAAACAAGAAGATTCCAAATTTTCCCCATTACCCGGGTAGGCCTGTAACCGTAAACATACGCTTTCCTACGCCAAGCAATGGTCCATTCATCACAACATGAATGTAGTTAAGTTATGCAGAGCACCTCAATACTTCCAAACTTAATAGGTTCACTGCTAAACTGCTTCAGAGCTGCAGCGTACGACAATTTGGAACTGGCGTTCAGATTTAAGGATAAAATGGCTACAACTGCTTGAGTGTGACTTAATTGCCTGTGCACAGTGTCCAAAAGCAGTTGGAAAGTAGACAAAGTGTTTACTTCACGCCTGAATATGACAATGATAAATCATTTTAAGTAAACCTTGCAAACCTTCGTGCAAGTATGATTTTCGGAAGCGCATTATCTGAAAGACTAAACACATGAATTTGAAATTACTTTACCTGGAACATGATGAAAGTTTCGACTCACCAACTCAGTTGTCGACTTTTGTCCAAAAACTGCTTTTGTTGTTGTCATATAGTTTACGCAGGGTGGCGACGTGTAAATACATTCAAATCAAATAAGCAAAGTCCAAGAAGATCGTGAATACGAGTGCAGAACTGATTAACTGAACAGGAAACTAATATAGCTAAATTGGGAAACTGGGATTTCAAGCTATTCATGGTGACAGAAAACTAAGGTGGAAAGCTTGCGGTAGCACCATGCAAGGGTACGATCTCTTTGTGTGTATGGGAACTCACGGTTTTTTTTCAGAACCATGCCGACTCACAAAGAGATCGTATCCTTACATGGTGCTACTGCAAGCTTTCCACCCTAAATTGGGAAGGTCAAAGTAGGTCGAGCAATGGTCCATGTTGGCAATAGGGAACATAGGGACGTCAACAGCTCCTAAGTGTCGTGTTGAAAAAGGAACCAACGCGTATGCATTTGGTACTCGGTAGCAAATTACATGTACACACACTCGATGATGTATTTTAAGGAAACTAAGTAAATAATCTGGTATCATTGCCTTTTCTGATCTCCGTAAAGATGCGTCTAAAAATCTGCACTGTATTCTTTCCATGATTTGAGTCATTGTCTTGTCTTGATAAATTGCATGCAAAAGATTGGAATCCCCTATATAGTAAGATTTGGAACATGATTTTGAGTTTCACAAAAGGTTTGGGGTCACCAAAGGATAGAAACGGTAAACGTGTTCCCGTCACAAACCTATCATGTAGCAGTTTAAAATGAAGTATCGATAAACCCGATTAACATTACCGAGAGAAAACGAATTTCCAAATTCAACCTGTGGCACGTTGTAAAAACTTTGACATTTATTTCTTCAGTATATGAAAAAGAATACATGTACTTAGAAGCAAAACTACAGGTAAATTAGGTTTAGAGCGATACCAGCATTAGTTCCTGTAGTGTCTTTACCCAAAGCTACACTCAACGAAAAATTCCAATTCTTCAATCAATATCTTTGAAAAATGCGCTCGATTTTTGCACAACAAACTACATATTAGTTGCAAGGCCTCATGCACGAAAGATAACTGAAAATAAAGTAGAACAACGCTCACCTTCTATCTTGAAAAGATTTAGCGGTATCAGCTGCAATATTCGACTCAGAGCTCGTTACATTACTTAGACAAACCAGAAAAGAGTCCCCAACAATTTAAAACCATCTTTTGAATAAAAATCAAGTTCCAAAAAAGTTTGATGAAAACCACATTAGATTATAAATCACACTGTGCTGTAATTATAATACCATTTAACACTCTACTGTACAGGTCCTTACATTTGACTTCATAAAGTACGAAAAAGAAAAAAAAACTCTAACGAGCCTAGAAATAAAACATAAAAGAAAAGGATCTATCGGGCAATTTGGACACGTTTCGCAATTCAATTTGCTAAGTACAAATCCAATGTAATGTAGATTTTCGCATCAACAAGCATTGAACTTTGTTGCATTACGTTTTATTTATTTAAAAGGTTACAAATGCAGAGTTGATATTTCGGTTTGACAAATTAGTCGCCAATGATTGCAAATGTGCATTCCTATTCGCTGAAAATCTGCCTTTTACCGTGACTCTTCGGTATTGAGTATTCAGTTTCATTTTCTATCATTCAAAATGGCAAAATATATGTTCAATTTGGTTAGAGTTACAAGGGTAATCATGTTACCACTTTGATAATAGATGTTATATTACTATGAAGGATTATCGAGTGTTTGTTATCAGACTGTACACAAACAAGGTTTTTATGATTTTTGTGTATCTCCTAGCTCTGCCATTGGAAGAAGGACTTTTGGAACATTTACTCCGCTGTATGATGAGTATTTGCGGCAAAAAAGTAGCACAAGAAGGAAGAAAACCTCAGCCTCGGTGTAGAGGATTCATACAAAAGACGGTATTTTTCTACAGACAACATTAGTTTTTTTCAATCATTTCAATCATGAACATATAACTAATCAAAACCTTCTAAAAATGGAACTCCCGTTGGCACTCAAAAAATTCTTTTTTTTTGTCCTGGTATATGTTACATGACACTTCGCACGAAATCGCCTGCCTCTTTTTCGAAATATGTTCCAATTATTTTCCAGAAACTAGTGAAGGTTTTCCAAACTGTTTTAGAAAGTTTCTCATTCCTATTCACAACATTACATTTTCAAATTGGTCAAAAACACCAAAAGCCTGCCCTTGCTGAGAAAAAAACAATTCATTAAATTTGATAAGTTGGAGAATACATTTCACTATACTGTTGAGAATATCGTCATTGCAAATTCGTCCAAAGGATCGCATAATCACAGCATTCAGATATTGAATTTTTTTTGCCTATCTCTACGTTTGTTCGGTAAATTAGTCCCATTGTACTCAAGTACATCTGGCTGAATGCATTAGTTCACATACTGAGAAAAAAAAATAAATTGCACTGCGAAGAGGATATGGCCTACACATAAATTTCTAAATATAAAGGAAGAAAACAAATTTCACTGATCACGGGAGAACAAATAAAAACCAATGGATAAGATGTATCCTTTTGTGTTCCAAAGAGGTTTGGCGAAATTGTGGGAACATATGATCAAAATGTTCGACTTGAAACGCAAGCACAAACGAGGTGAAATATAATACTCCTCTGTCAAAATGCTGCGCATGCTTTGAATTTGGTTGATCAACCTTTCAAATCGTCTGAAAGTTAACGACACTATAAGTGCCCTAAATCGCTTTCAATGGAAGAGATCGAAAATACCCATTTGTATTTGGAATGAAATTCGTTTGAAACCTTTAGGCTACAGTGTTCTGAAGTCTTCTTCAACTTATCGGGAAATTAAACCAGGACAAAGAACGAATATCTAACACGTGTACCCATATGAGCACAGTTATTTACAATGAACTTATGCACTGCTTACATTAAGTTTCCAATACCAAAACATGTACATTGCCCCGAAGCAATTCTCACTGTGCATCATGATACCACATTTTTTTCTAACGTCTTCTTGAGAAACTGCCATTTAATCATTAAAAAATGATTTGAGTTTTGTATGTGAACCTAATTCCCCTCTTTCAAATACTTCATAATTTTTGAACGATATTGTATGAAAACCAGACCAACTTTGCAAAGTATTATTATGCTTCACGCATGTGTTAGGAGACAAATGAAATTTATTCTCTCGTTTTTACAGTTTAAACCAACATAGTCAGGGTAAGAACGAGAGGGAATGAAACTACTGTCCCTGAAACTCCATTATGTCAAAATTAGTCACCCTATTCAACTCTGAAAAATATGAATGTTCCAAATAGCAATGCTTTATACTGAATGGAGAGTTTCCACAACGAGGCCAACCGTTTTCTAGTATAAGGATTTTCAAACGGTTTGTTGGAATATGAATATCCTTTCATTCATCTTCAAAAAACAGTATTTTACAATTAATTTTGACATATTTCCCTGGGACGTCAGGGAGGAAAATAATCACTGACCGAACACTTTGTCAGGTTCAATCTACATAGGAAGATAACATCCAAAACGTGAATTCTTTGGAAAACTTTAAGTGAACGCAAGCTGCAATTGATCACGATAATACAGATTCTGGGGAGAAATGAAACGCCTAGCGGCAATGAGTGGTGTATTGTTTTACACCAAGGTGGCACCTATCAGCAGTTTCTGAATTATGCCTCGATGTCAGGATTATTGCAAAAATCTAAGTTCTACTTTTTGATAAAGCAGTAAATGGTCGTAAACTTTCAATATCTAAGTTATCTAATTCATGCTAATTTCATATTTTTCTTTGCATGAGCAGCGTCAGCATTTTATGCAAGCTCTGACAATTCCTTTTCTGATAGAAAGAAGGGTCCTTGCATGCTAACATTTACCATTTTGCCAAACAAATAAGTGTCCACAGTACTACCTTGTGGTTATACTGTGCAATGCTAGACTGGCTCCCGTCCTTTCGTTATTTTCTTATTTGTTACGGGAAATGAACGTTTAAACTGGGGCGGGAATGATTCCAGTGAAACGACGTTCAATTGTACTGGTAACGCGAGATAGAACGACTAATCCAGTGACATGTGATCAACACCTCACCAACAAGATAATCGAGATATTTGCAAGTACTTTATAAAAGGTGATTCAAAAATTCCCTCCAGCAAAGGTAAACCCTTGAATGTTAGAATAAACAGCAGGTGCCCAGATTTCATCTATCTGCGAAATTTGCAAATAAGTGGAATCAGTATAATGGCCAATAAGGCTATGACACCGATGACGATACCCGCTATAGCGCCTCCAGAAAGACCTCCCTCTGTAAGCAAACAAAAGAAAAGGGAGAAAACAATGCTGTAAAAAGAACACAAATTTGAATGATTTTCCTTATATATCAAAATAAGGCTATTAGTAAATGATAACAGTTGGTACGCATTTTATATCTTGCTGGAAAGCGCATAAATATGCTAACTACTGCCAAACCAACCAACTACTAGGTCCAGACCCATAGAAGACCAAAAACCAAACCAAATGTACCGACTTTACCAAACCCAAGCAAGCCAAACCCTACATCTGCTCCCCTTTTAACTCCAGAGTTTAAAGCTATATTTGATCATCGTGCGCCAAATTGTTTTCAGCCACCCATTAGCATATACCTGTTGTTGATGTTGTTGTTGCTGTTGGTGACGGGATGATTGTGGTGCTTGCACCTACATTTAGACAAAATTTAGAAGTCAAGTATCATATCGGTATTTCTGACACCAATTTGCGGCCTAGCAGGTCCAACAGCTACACCAATGTCTTTAGTAGCATCATGTCATTTGAAGTTGCGCAGAAGGAATTCCTGCAATGGCTGGTGTAATAGCTGTAATAACGTCCTAATAATAATTGGATGTATAACATGGACATGACTATATTAGATATACCAGCACCAACAAGAGTAACTGTATTAAATGCTGCAGCAGAAATATTTATTAACAACACGTGGAAATTGACATAACATTCAGAATAACAATGAGTCGTTTCATTGTTTGTTCATTGTTTATTGATAAGAAATGTTAGCCATATGATGTAGTTTTGTAGTTGACTCCTTACCTAAGACTGTCAAATTTGCAGATCCTATGTTGAATTCTGTATCACACATTTTTAGTTCGCATCTGTATTCACCGCTGTCTTTTTTACTGACATTCTTCACAGTTAAATTACTGCCTTCCTGGATGTCAATCGCCATGTAGTATTTGCCTTTGCTTGGATCCTGCGGGTCGCTGTCATTGACCCGGTGGTGTGCGATATAACTTTTGTCAGGGTTACCGTCACCTCTTCGCCACACAAGTAAAAAGAAACAGTCCTTGTCAATAATATAAGAACATCTCATTATGGCACTTGCTCCCTCAACGGCTTCTTCTGGCCATACTGTGACGTTTACTGGTCCCAAACAGTCTGGGAAAAAAAGAAAAAGTTGGCATTCAACATTCATTTTTGTTTCATTTCGTTTCTTAGTTTTTAGGGTGCAAGAAAGTTTGTTTTTTGTTTGCTTTGGTGTTTATTTTAGTGTTCAAAATAGCTTAGAATTGGCGCAACCTTCGGCTAAGATAAACGGAAGATTTGCCTTGCGTTATCACTTTTATTAATCGCTGTCACGTTTAGTGATCCATTCCCAGTAGTTCACGCAGGTAATTCAAAACTGAAATGAAGTTTCTACTGAACTATAAATAAGTCAATCCTATATCAGCGAAGGAACCTGCTTCTTGCTAAATGCAATGCTTCAATAGTTCCGTTAATGATAATACGTTGCAAAAGTGCATTAAACATCTTAATAATCCAAAGTGTACACATGTCAATGTGATTACACAAGAGACGCGTAGTGGTCCTACTTTCGAAACAATACTTTTGAACGTTGGAAATGCATTCCTATCTTTATTTTTTTAAGTGGTTTTAATTTGGTAGCCAAAGGGTTACAAAATCACTTACCCTGTGCCAAAATGTCTGGAGATAAAAACAGTGGCCATAAAAGTGGGATAAAAACATTTTTCGCCATCACTCAACCCTGTCAAAGAAAAGAAAAGCTCATGGATAGAAAGAAAGAGCGTGTAAGAATCTAAATCTGTATGATATGAAGCACAGTATTCATATTGCTTCCGATTTTGTCAGTAAGTCAGGTTTTTTCACAGAAGTTCTCACAGAAGTAGCAACATATTATGTAATAGGACCGAACATTATGTATAGACACAAATTGAAAGAATATTGGAATTTTGTTGCTACAATAGAGGTGGTTTGGCCATAGCTTATCTTTAACGTAGGGTCCCTCTCACTAATTTCGCTATTGGTGGTTTTTTGTGGCCACATTTAAAAATGTGCGTCTTATATTTCACTGAAGGAAGCTCTCTACCGGCCAGGCAGGCATTGTGCGAATGATATGCGTTGGAAATGCATTCCTATCTTTATTTTGTTTTTTTTAAGTGGTTTTAATTTGGCAATCCAAAGGTTGTATGATATGAAGTGCAGTTTTCATATTGCTTCCGGTTTTGTCAGTGAGTCAGGTTCTTCACAGAAATGCTCACAGAGGTAGTAACATATTATGTAATAGGACCGAACAACATGTATAGACACAAATTGAAAGACTATTGAAATTACATTTTGTCGCTACAATAGAGGTGGTTTGCCCATAGCTTATCTTTAATTTAGGGTCTCTCTCACTAATTGCGCTTTTAGCGGTTTTTTGTGGCCCAGGGAAAATTTGACTCTTCCCATTTAAAAATGCGATTCTTATATTTTACTGAGGGAAGCTCTATACCGGCCAAGCAGGCATTGTGGGTGACTTGTTGCCGTTGTCAAAGCATATGCCTGATCATGTCAACTGGCCACGATCGTTTTCCCCTGTGTGATTGCTCAAATGAACTCTATCTGATGAGCAATCACAATATGCCTCGGAAGAGCGAATGATATCATGATTTTAAAAAATATGTTTATGAGTCTCAGTTAATTTATAATTAAAACGATAAACAACAATATAAAGACGGGAACAATAATTGACAAAAATTTCAAATACTGTTTAAAACTCAATTTGATACTAAATAACAAGTATATTTGAAAAATGAATTCTTCTTTTTAGGTCACAGTTTTTGAAGACTGTTCCTACCGAGGCCAGAAGGTGGGAGTCTGTAAAGGGAATTCCATTACTGTTGTGTAATACATTTGAAGGCAAACACAAGTTTCTGTTGAATGACAATCGTCCATTTCCTTTTACAAAACTGAAACTAAGATGACAAAAGACTCAAGAAAAAATGCTTTGCAATGCCAGTTTCAATGTTTTCTATTTACTATTATCATGGGTACCGATCAACATTATGGTACTGCTCATCAAGAGCTTTCAAATTGTCAAGGAGTGGACTTTGACTTTTCTTACAATATTATGCGTATACGTTTACTTACTAATACCACGAACTCAGACCGAAACACCGTATTCATGCTTCTAGCCTTATAAAAATAATTATTTGTTTCCAGGTTCACCACATACCAGATTTCAAAGGCCTTTCCTTTTTTAATGAACTCTTACGCGTGTTTCCTTTGAAGAAAATAAATAATAAACTATACAGTCTCATAAACTCATAAACTATACAGTCTTTAATTACTAACATTTATTGTCTTACACGAAAATCCACAAGACCCAGCTTACAATTTACTAAGATAATTAATTAACAACCTCTTTGTTTAAGATAAACAAATTTAAATATCAATATGTATCACAATAAAGGCTTGTTTATAAGTTAATTCTACAAGACCCACAACACATGGACAAACATTAAAACATGTTTTATTTACCACCTTCCCCTACATTTCTGGCCACAATGTCCAAATACATTATGAAACTGGTCTTCTTTTAAAGGTGAGAAATATCTTTTTTAACACAGCTCAGTCCAACCTTAGGGTCAAACAGAAGGAGGCAAGGAAACAGGTTAAGTCTTAAGGAGCATGCGTGTAAGAGTCGGTGTTTCTGCCTGCATTTTCATTACATATTTTAGGTTCACTTCTCACCAATACTGCCAGCGAGTTTATGTAGGTCCTGCTCTTACTAGATTAATTTCGGTTTTTCCCTCAAGGCTTAAACCCTTTCTAGAATTGGAGTAACCCAAACTCAACCTTTTTGGCTGGGGAAGACCCACTCAGCAGATTAAACTGCAGTTTTACAGAAGGCTTAAACTCTAACCTATACAATCATAATGGAGCACTATGTAGCCTTGTCGAAAACAAAACAAACTGTATTTCAATGACACATGATAGTTGAGTATTTGAAAAAAAGAATGATGTCGATGCACCGATAAAAATGGTATGTATATATATGTGCACTTTGCGTGGACATGCGTGTTCTAAGTTATGAAACTAGTAGACTGAATTCATTTTGCTGTACAAGCTTGTACCAACTAACGGGAAATAGACTTAAATAGTCAAGAGTCCAACTGACAGCTAAACAGTTCTGGAGACCAGAGGAGAGTTGCTCACTTCTCTTAATTTGAACACCAAACGATTACTCTCAGCGGGAGGTTTCTGATAACATTTCTCTAGCTTAGACCTTTTTAATTCTTCAAAGCCAGTAGCGACAACATGTATCTCACTTTTGTCCTTCAGGTGCTACTCTGTGCAGTTGCCATTGGCGAAGGTGAGAACAATTCCTGTTCTTTTTTTTCTAAATGTCAAAAAATTAGTTTGATATTTTTATGAATCACTCAGCAACGATGATTTTGTCACGCTTTAGATACTATTCTCGTTTACAACTTGTATATGGACGGCTAAATCCCTCCTCTCAGTTGATTTCTGATTTTACCTTCTCTTCGTTCAAAATGGACATTGTCCATTGATTTGATATGGAGTTATGTTTAGTACGCATAAGAATATGTATTATATGTGTTTTGATAGCTGTGTGGGATTTTTAACACCTTGGGAATGGTCTTCACATTTTTGTACCAACAGCCATTGAAAGTTTTAGCAGCCACTTGTGGGGGAAAAACACCACTTTGACGTAAAAAAGGTCAAAAGAGCAGACCTTATATCTAGCCGAGCCTGTAACCGGCGAAACCCAAAATAACAACTAACAGTAATTGTAACAGTACTACCTATTGTAACAGTAGTTGACAGTAATCCCTGAAGAAACTCTTTCAAGTTGGTAATTGCGCAATTAATCTGCTTGAAAACCCAGATGCGCCACTGCCTTTTTTGCATAATGTTCAACTTTTTTTTTTTTACAAATGGTAACATCATGACGTGTTGACACAGTAAAGATGATGTGTAAATTACACGAATTTCTTAATGATTTTATTAAATTGTATTTGGTTTTGGTGGGAATGGAGACAGCTGTTGTAATTTCTTATCTTTGTATAACAAATTGGATGAAAGCAGTAACGTACTGTCAAATTGATTTCATCTTTGATTTTGCTCCAAAACTTGATTGCGTTTTTTGTTGGTTTGGTTTTGTCCTTATTGTTCGGCACTCCTAACTTGTTCTTTCCCCCCCCAAAAAAAATGGTATTATCCATATACAGCTGTCTTTCTCGTTTGACATATTTTTATGTATAGTATAAATCTTTTCACTTCGCGAATACAACATCTAACATACTGCAGGATGTCTTAGGCCGAGTAGGACCTTATGTCCACTCTGAAATACGACAAACAAAAATGGTTTTGTTAAGAGTAAATCCATCTCCACCAAAACGCACACAAAAAAGCAAGTACATGTAAACAAAACGAACTGTTAAAAGTAATGCTCGGTTTTGGTCTGGACCCATTTAAGCGATTGGTCATAAGGCTAATGGTGCTCAGTGATTGAAGCAACCATTGACGAGATAATAAAACACTTGTTACTTTCAAATGAAAGAGTTTTAAATGCTTGCTTATAAGCAACTGGAGACTACTACATTCTGCGTCATTATCTGATCCTTCGACTTTATACTTAAAAAAAATCAAACTGCAGAAAAAATGCACCTTGAAAGATTTTGTAAGTGGAGGGCACTGTAACTGGGAAAATGGGTTGTTTTCATCTGAAGAAATATTACTCAAATGGCAAATAATCCTCTAAAAACCATACTAATCGTCGTTTAATAACGTGAAACTTCCCGTTATAGAAGTGCATATTAAAACAGAAACTTACGGACTGACCCTACTTTCCCTTTTTTTTTCTAGGTGTGGGGGAGAGTTTCAACATTTGTGAACATTTTCTTATGTAACGTTTCATTGTCTTACTCAAGGTTAAGGCTACAAACGAAAGGGAGAGGGAAACGACGTGTCAAATTGCCTTCCTCTCATTTTCAAAAAGCTCAATTTTGGAAAGGGGGTGCCTGATCCCATATTCTCCCTTCTCCAGATTCCACTGTTGCTTCAGATTTCAGTCTAATTGTAAGTCGATGATATTTGCAAGTGAATTTCTTTTATACTGTTTCTGTTACACGTACTGGGGGAAGTGAAGCAAACATGCAAAACTCTTGTGGAGGATCCACAAAAACTTTTTAATTGCATAGAAGCATTGAATAATCACTTTAAAATTGAAAAGAAAAATCAGCCCCTCACTGAATACGAAAAGGCCATAGGATTTAGTTTTGTAATTACTATACTAGATTAACGCTGGAGATTTCTCAGCTGATACGATTAATTGTGTGTGACTACACTTAAATGAACGTGAAAACATATTACATTCATAGTTTATTAATATTGCACTTAGGCAACTAAAAGTTGAATTACAGCAATGTAACAAGGTAAAATATTTTAACACTAAATAACCTTAATAAACATATTAACACAGTCACCACAATTACACATACAACTGTCCCGCATTGTCTCAAAAAATTGATTTATCAACGAAATATCTTATTGTTAAAAATTTCGGTTTTATATGGCCTATACTGGAATACGCTGCCTTAGTCTGGCATCCAGGCCTAACGGCCAAACTGCATACTGAAATCAAACGCATTCAAAAAAGGCCAATGTAAAATAATTTCATGTAATAGCTATGAATCTTACGAACAGGCCCTCTGGGATTGCTCCTTACAACACTTGAAACAACAGCGAGACAACATTTGTGTTAATTTTGCTAGGTCACTCTTCATATCGAGCACATTTTCGAAGTTGGTTTCCAAAATCTAGAGATGAACAGACCGGACGTATTTTGCGCAACAGTAATTCTTTATCAATTCCTAGAACTTTAACCTCTCGTGCACAATAGAGTCCAATACTCCACATGACTGGACTTTTAAATAAGTATGGGAAAGATTAAGTTTCCTACAGAGAGGTCACTTGACAATGTGTGGTGGGCCCTGTGGGACTGACCTGATAGATTTGGTCCTAAAAATGGTGCAGGATTATTACTGTCAGAATTGAAACGTGTTTAATTTTCTGGGGGTTGGGGAAGTGTCGCAATAAGGAATTCCTGGACTTGGTATATGGAAATTTTTCTATAATAAGTAAAAGTAGGTACAATTTGCAAGTTTGAAATGCAGAACATGCAATTAAGGCCACTGTCTCCCAATTTACTAGTTCCGATTATGAGTATCAAATCAATTTTACTCGCATCAGTCTAACTTCTCAATAATGAGTCTGCATTAAAACTTGTTTATATATCAAATTATACCTGTACTCAGCCATAAGATTTGATCAAGTTAAATGTCCTGCATCAACTGTTCTATTTTCTGAAATTCAAAATCCTTGTATAATTTCTTCCATTTCCGGGTATTGTGTCACACGAAAGCAAAGAAAAAAATTGGTGTTAATGAACAAAAAAGGCCTTGCCAAAAATTAACACTAATTTTGAATAAGTGCATTCCTCACAAGCGGTGTAAAATTCCTTCGTCTCTTTGCCTGCTACTGTTTAACACAAAACGCCTAGCTGCCACCATCGGCGTTATTTTTCACACTGGAGTTTTTGCAGTATATGTGACGCATTTTTTTCCCAAGTAAGCCAGAATAATTACTTTCGGTTTCCGCCTGTTTAATCGGAGGGTTAAATTTAACATGTAAAAATATAAAAGCACAAACCCCATTAACAACATGTCCTATGTCCATTAATACGGTCCCAAGTTTCCACAGATACTTGTACAATTATTTCAACATGAACGCTTTTGGTATGCTTTGGTTTCGGTTGAGGACATTTCCACCATTCTCTCGCTCTTCAAAACAACAACTGGTTGTTAAATGCCAGGAAAATCCCATTTCGTTTGCATAAAGTAATGTTAACAACTGCTATTGAAATAAGAATGGTCCTTCAAAAGGAATAGAGTGCATGATAAACACTTCCCATGTGAGGGAAAATTTTGAGTGTTTTCGTTGAAATGGGTACCTCAACCTACTTGTATTTAATTTAATGATATGTATGTGCTAACTTTAGGTAAAGATGTAACATTTAGTTTCCAAAGCACTCTCTGTATAAAGTAATTGTCAAAAGAAAACAATACATTTGGCCTACATTTATGAAGCAGTAGTTATGAAATCAATGGTGGGTAAGGTGAAACGTTTAACAGGGTGGCAAGGGACAGATATAAATGACAACAAAAAGTACAAAAAGCTCACGAAAATATGAAAAGAATACGCATCATCATTTGTGAAAAAATCGTCAAAAATCTCCTTGCTTCTTAGTGGGAAAAGGTGTATTGCCCGCTTTTAACATCCTACCGACAACTACGGAATGGGGATTTTAAACTGAAAACAGTATTATCTCAAAAGTGTGCAAAATTAACATGAATAAAAGTATCTTTTTTTTCATTATGACCACCAAACACTCCTGCAAACGCCGCTGTTGTCTTTTTTTGCACTGATACAATGAAGTGCTTACCTTTGCACCCAATGTGAAGAGAATCCTTTTAACACCATTGCCTCATAAAACAAACATGTCCAGTATGATTTCATATCAGTGCTTTCTAAAGCTGGCTGCTAGGCGTGCTGGTACTTCTCACGCATTCCTGTCTACACGGTCTACCAATCGCCGTAAGATTATCATGACAGGAATTTACCCACACTGTGACAGAACACTCCCGATCAAATCACGGAAACAGACAATTGGTATTTCTTACCAAGGAAGCCGTGCTCCTCTGGAAGACAAATTTGGTCGTCAACCACACGGAAATCTCGATAAAGTGGTGGATCTTTTAGTCAAAGGATAGGGTCAAAGGATAGTCGGCCATGTTTCTGTATTTCCAATCAAAGACTATGTAGCGCCGCGTAGCGGCGAAGGATGGAGAACTTCACTGCGTGTGAAACGTTGACATTAGTTTGAGCAGGCAGAATTTGGGCAGAGAACCCGGATGTACATAAGCCATAACGTCAGGAAGAATGAAATTTTGCCCATTATAGAACTTCACAAATAACAAAATGATTAATTCTGTGGGTCATTCGTTGTCTTAAACAACTGGAAAAAATGGGGAGAAAAAAATTCCAATACCTGGGTTGTCATTCATTTTTTTTGGTAACAAATGCTTCTACCAGACAAGCCCATTCCCATTGTTTCCTTTTTTCCATATTTTCATCAGGATAGAGACTTTGGAAGAGGTGGGTAATTTCTTGACAGAAGAGAGTTTGAAGGCTTCTCTTTTCTTCAATGATACACTGCTTCCGTCTAATGACTTTTATTTTGAGGAACTGTGATTTTTTTCAGCCCGCCCCGACCCAGTAAAAGCTCACATACAAACGAAAAAAATACAAGAGCATTAAGTCAGGTGCTCAAGGTAAAAACTGCATTCTCATGTACATGTCATTGCAGTACTCAATTTAACAAGGTGTCTCAAGCAGGATACGCTGTGAACCTTACAACCGTAGATGTTTTCAATTTATAAAACAAAATCATATTTTAAATTGTATATCAACTCCACCGAATCTTCCAGTTTCAATGTAGTAAAGGAACAGTAGATTGCTCATTTCTTGGGAGTCAACAGAATCTTAGAATATGATGTTTCAAGAGACGTTCAGATTCTCCGAATGGATTACTTCACAGCTGAAAAGGTGTCAATTTTCACTTTCACGAAAAACAAATCCACATCGGCGTTGCCTCTCTAGTTGCTCATGGCATTGTTTTATGGTTTGTGGCATTTATGATTGTATGATATTACTTTTTTTCGTGCACGCCCCGTGACAACCTGATACCTGCAGCAGTGTTCATTCTTGACTAGTTAGCAGTAATTACTGAACATCCCTACCCATTGCAAGATGCCGCAGACAATCTCATTCCGATCCGATTATCACTTACGTCACAGCGCTAATCCCGTTGACTATACTGTAATATCACCATGCCTGAATTATTTTGCAGTTTTCCATACAAAGTAACTGGAATAAGTTACCAAGAGTTTGTCGGACGCCCGGAGTTGGAAACCGTTTCTAAAGTCCACTGCTAACCTCTGCTAATGTCACCATGACTTATGTTCACCCAGCACTACTGGTGTATCAATTAAGTCAATACATGGAATTTTATGGGGCGACGCGTGGCAGGGGTAACCAAAATCCGGTCCTGTCTCCTGTGACTGCGGCTTTTCGTTTTGATCAAATGAGAAAGCGGAAAGGAACCGGGGCCACTGTTCGATTCTTGTGCATGCCGTAGTCTCACATGTTGCAAGCATATAGTGCAGCATGAATTGTTGAAAATGTTTCTTGTCTGGTTTTCCTGAAGATATGCGCCATATAAATGATGTGACATGCATGATGACGTCAAAAGCAACAGTGTTTTCTAAATAGAGATATTGGGCATTCTTGTGCAACACTGTCATTGGAGGCGCGTATCGATGCTTCATCTATCATAAACTAATATTTTTCGACACGAGTAAATCCCAATAAAGTCTAGACTATTCGAATATAAAACTGGACTTTAGGCAGTTAGGTGATGAATTGCTTTGACATAATAAAATCACTTAGAGCTAGAATTCTAAGTCCGTATAAATCTGGATTTTAAAAACTTTTGCAAGCTAATGACGATTGGGATGGCCTTTAGCTCAACGCTAGTTTCATATTCAAGTGTCAATCATTATTGTCAAAACCCCGGTTGCAAGAATATCACCATTTCTTTTTACAAAAAAAAAGGCTACCGCATGTGTGTTTACATAAGATCACTGTTTAACAAAATAATACCTCAGACGTTTTGTTTCCATCACAAGAGCTCACTGGTGTTCCTGTGTGCGACGCTGAACAACAAGCAATACTAAGCTGAAGAAGGGAACATACGTGATGTGACATCTTTATTCACAATGGTTTAGTGATTAACTTTCCCGGGTAGTGCTAAATTGGTTGAGTGTTTATTAAATCCTTCCTGCACGTAAGCTGAATATGATTTCCAACAACTGAAATCGATAAGAGTGTCATTCCCTGGACGCAGTGATCGGGATTAAAAACAAAACAAAACACCTTCCAAAACGCATTTCTGGATGGATTATTGCAGAAACATTTATACCGGGCAGCTTTGATTCGCACGTTCCTATCCTAACTACACTGGGTAGAAGAGAGCCGTTTCTCCGATACAACACACAGAAGATATGCACGTTTCTCACAAAATCTACCACGGATTGCACAGGCAGCCGCACGCATGGCCATGACCATGACGTCGATTGCGTCCCCACTCTAAAGTCTGCTCTAAACCAGTGCCTCATTCCCCTTTGATTTCTCGAGTTCTTTGCAGTTCCTCATATACATAGCCAACATATATTGGACTATCCATCTGAGTCAGAAATACTCCCCAAACAGGCAAGTTGCTGTTTTAATGCTTTCCATTTCCTCAACACTCCTTCTGGACTTATCCAGTGCGCAGTACATGGCTGGATTTTTTAATGTTCTTCTTGTTTGTTTGTTTGTTGGGGTGTTTGTTGGGGTGTTTGTTTGTTTGTTTGTTTGTTTGTTTGTTTGTTTGTTTGTTTGTTTGTTGGGGTGTTTGTTTGTTTGTTTGTTTGTTTTTTGTGTGTGTTGTTTTTTTGGGGGGGGTGCATGTAAACTATGCAAATCGTGTCGTGCAGAGGGTCTCCAAAATAAAGTTAAGTTGCTCCCGCCCCTTAACACAGACTTCGTAAATCGGGGGGAAGTGGACACCAAGTTTTGATGTGCAAGATGTACTTGACTAAGCCCTTTATGAGAGTTTCAACTTACAACAAACTATAACTGTTGTGCTGTTAAAACTGGAGCAAACAGAGCATTAGAAAATTGTTAGACTGGGCGCACCCAGTCTTAGTACAAACCAACAAGAAAACTACATCTGATTTTACAAGCTTTTAAAAGTTACATGAGTTTTGTTGTTTTAAAGAAACCAAATTATGATCTGGTATCATCGCTTCCATTGTCTACGATCCAAACTGCTACTGTGCGAAAGATTTGTCTAAAATTTGAATATTCAGATTGAAAATACAGATTGTTGCTGGATTGTTTTTTCTAGTTTCTAATATTAGAAACTCAAGTTTCTTAATTACTGAATGTTATATAATAACTGAATTGCGTGTAACCGATGAAATTATCACGTAAAAATAAAATGAAAAATAACAAACAACAAAAATTAAAAAGAGAAGGTGAATACTCCCTTTTATCCCACAACCCAGGACGGAAATTCCCTACTGACGTGTTTTTAGGTTAGCTACATGATAGATACGAAAGTCTAAGCTCAGCTTGCTTGTGTCAAACTAAATTTAAATGATAAATGAAAATCTAAAACTGAAACCAAACCTACCACAGGCTCAATGTTTTCTAGGTATATCATTTCAAATAACAGAACAAACTGCATGAGTACCAATGACTGGGTCGCCCGTTATACTGATCACCCAGAGCATTCACTGATCCCTCGATTGGACTTTGACTCTGTTATTGTGTGTCATCCATCCATATTTTTTCTTCATTTCATGAACTTCAACTTATTGAGTTCAAAGGGTCAGACGAAGGTTCATTTTGGGCAAATATTATCTGCTTAGGGGTTACTCAGAAGAATGAAATAATTGTTCCTGAATAACTTATATTCTGATAACTAAAACCAAGGTATGTGAATTCCCTTCAAAAACTGAAAATGTCTCCTAGGGCACCTAATAAAAGACAAACGCAAAACTTTTCTGCAATATGACCTCTCCGTTCGGCAATATCAGGTTAATTGGTTTTCTTTGCAACATCCCTCTCCTGTGCTCGAAAGAAAATGGTTTTCAGGGCCAGCGCTGAGCTTATTTTTGCTCATTTTACAGTTTTTTACTCATGCTTTTGTTTGTATATCTTGTATCGCGTAATTTATGAAAGGAAGTATGAGTACAACAGGTACTTGGTAAACGTATTTAATGAATTTATGGTCATTTCTACACCAAGTCCTCTTTGTGTCCTGATATGATTTCATGATTACCAGTACACAGTTTGTGTGTTTTGTCTTTGATTGCGCCTCCGTGCGAGACGTAATTTTGATTAAATCATGCACTGCCTCACTTAGGTGTGGGTTCACTGAAATTTCCCCATTTCCAAATGTTCTGTTCATTGTGGGATAAAGTAGCAGCCATTGATTGCAATTGACAGTTATTGAAACCAAACCAGATAGCAGAGATACCCCGCAAAAATACCGCTTGTAAAAGCGTTTCAATATTTTACAGAACCTGTTTAAAACCAAATACATAATACTAAATAAATTAATGTTTAATATAGATAAGTTGTGGTCAGACTATTCTATATAAAGAACTCTAACATGCAAAGCACAATATAAATACAAGACACAAAAACTAAAAGAGAACTTTAAACTGTAGTCAGTTTAAACAAAAAGACGACAAGGAGTTTCGATAGTGAAGCTCAGGAAAGGTGCACTTAATACAAAACGTATCAGTGCGCCAAACCTGAAACATTTGAAAGTTTCATTTAAAATATAAAAAGTATCCTTGGAGACATTGCAAAGGTCTTGGACCACTTCATTAATCGTGTTAATGTTCGTCAACTTTGTAATTATGAAGGGCTTTTGTGTTCAGAATTTTACATTTCTTGAAGCCGTTTAGTGCTTTAGACAAAAGAATAACATTCAAAGCCACTGAGAGCGATGCATCAGAGAAGAACCCCTAGCCCAATCTAGACACAACTGACGTTTATCTTTTTAATTTCTTATAAGCATCTAGTCAGTTTCCAGATATAGTGCTTTATCATGTTCAAAAAACCATATCCTTTCTGAGTGATCTAAATTCACCACTTCCCGGTTTATATTATGTAACTGGGGCGTGATCCCTGGCTATATGGTGTCTCAGGTTTAATACCTTCTGGGTAGCCCTCCCCCAACACCCACTCTTGCACGGCTATACATATGTGGTATTTCCTTCGTTCTCATGTACAAAACTCCCACATAAAGCGCAAAGGTTTTCCAATCACCATTTAAACCGAACTCACTTTCCCGAGTTGAATTTCGACGGTATGTCCCTTAATTTAATGTTACATGCGATACGACGATATTGACAACAAACACACCAACAGGATGCCGATTTTAAGGGGAATTCCCTTACTGATTGCAGGACTGGCATAAATAATGAAGGTTTTAATACAACCTGCTCCAGAACTGAACCAAATACGGTTTGTCTGAGTGTCTGTAATCTAATCTCGTCTGTTATTGTCATGCGTTGAACTTTGGCATTAGTGCTCTAAACCATTTAATTATATTATTATTGCTCTAAACCAATCTGTTATTTTCAGGCATTGAATTCTGAAAATTGTGCTCTAAGCCATGTTAAACTTTTTTCCAGACTATATTGGTGTAGCGGCGTTACTTGTAATAATTTGTCTAATTTTCAACCATTTATATCAAGACCTTTACGACAAACTCCGTCCTGGGTGGATGTAATATCTTATTTAGGTTTAGGAGCCCCATTAACATCCAGCAATCGATACCACTGATACACAAAACCACATAGATGTCAGGATACAAGAAACGATAACAGAAAGACTGAAACACAGTAATTCTTTTGCTTTTGCGAAAAAACAGCTAGTCAAGCATTAGGCTTGTAAATATTATGCATTTAATTTGTTGCCAAAGATGCACACTGGTATCAGTTTTTTCAGAATCATTAAAAGGAACATGGTGGCCAACGAGTATGCAAATTAAAACCATAAACATTTGCTCATTAGTGCTTACCTTTTATTATTGTTATTCAATTGGATAGTTTGTTATTGATCTCAGCAACAATATTGAACCCCGTATGATCCAAAAAAGAAAATAAAAACCCTATTGACAGTATACAAGGAATGAAAAGGCCGCAGTTATAATAACCACATAAGAGATAATTTGTAAGCCAGCGTTGTCTTTCCTTATTTCTAAATGTTAAATTTTACAGTACAGAAGAAGAAGGCCTCTCAACAATGTGTCCTGTCCTCAACATGTATTTCGAAATGATGAACGCTGCCTGTATGTGTTTTGTGTCTTGCTGAGGACCTTTCTCTTGGGCTTACGGTACACGTAAATGCATGTATAATTCGAACTGAAATAAACCAGTCGAACAAAAACAAAACACTACAGTTGAGCACCATAGACAGAGACAACAAAACACTTGTGTAATAACCAGCATCAAACAGTTTCGGATACTAATTGCCACAACTAAACACAGCCTGAGGAAATCTCCAGTTTTAAATTCCTACTTTTCAAAACAATACCTGTTGTTTGTTTAAACGGCAGGAAAATCCCATTTTCATTTGCATATGGTAATGTTAGCAGCAGGTTTTTCAAAAGACTGGACCTTGAATAGGACTAGAGTGCATAATAGACACTTTTTATATGAGAGAGGACTTTAAGTGTTGGTTAGTTTAAAGAGGTACATAAGCCTACAGTCAAAACCATTAATGTTGGTCTCTGATAACTTGAACATTTTAAAAAGTGCAGGGTACTCTAAAAATACTAATATTACAATACCTTGGGGAATTTTGACTCCTACTTAGTTCAATTAATGCTTTATGTATGTATGAACTTTAAGAGCGATGTGAATTTGAGAATTTGAAAACTAATGCCCCTAGGAGCTAGTGCTCGAAGGGAGGCATTACTTGTTTGGCTTACATGATTTACAAGACGCCACACTTATGAAAACAACATCTTGTCTGTTGACATGTGAGTTTAAAAGTTTGATTGCTCAAATTCGCTCTCAAAAGGGAGAATTTCAGTGTACAGGTCCCCATACTCTACCGGCTGCTGAATTTTGTGCGATATGACTGCGATGATATGAAGAGCATTTTTAGATCGTTGGTAAAACAGGGAGCACTAATAATAATTAACTAATAAAAAGTGCTACCCATTTAAACCCTCTGGGCTTGGCGTTTACATTCGATGTTACGGATCTGATTCCACTGACTTTTATCAGGTTACTGATTACATATGTGGTCTCCATCCTATAATTTGCCTACTAACTGCAGCCACAATGGAAACATTAATAGTATGGAAATCCGACAGCTTCATAGGAGTCTGCACAATAACATGGGAAGTAAATAAACGCTTACCTTTCTTCTTTGTGATTTCCTGCCTGTTCTTCTATATCATTTCAAATGTTATTAGAACAGCACAATTTTGAAAGAAAACTGAATTTTTGAACGCATGATTGCTGTGTTGCCAAAAAAAAAATGCGGCGTCTATGATTTTACCGCCACAAAAAAACCCGTTTAATTAATTTCCTGGAGGATTATTTGCCAACGGAACAGGCATACCAACAAAGTACTAGTTATGAAATAATTTTTGAAAAATTTTGTTCCTGTTTCAGGAGTATTGGCAGTGACGATTACCAACGAGCCTTTGGTCACCATTGGTGATGAAGCAACGGTAACTTGTTGGTTTGCTGGCATGTTTAGCTACATTCGATGGAGCAGAAGCTCAACTGACGTCATTGATGTGACAAATACAAACGCCATCCTAGAGTACAGAATACACTCTGTCGTCTATGCCGTAGGCGTAGATAGCAATCACTACAACTTCGAGGTGTCTAGTGGCAGATATATCTTAACAGTGAAGTCTGTTACTTTGAATGATGGAGGCAAATATTGGTGTGAGATCGTTGAACTTCCGCCTAATCCGTACACGGACGATGTTGCTTTTACAGCTTTTGAAATTCGGGGTGAGATTTTAAATAAAAAGGCTTACACTTCCAAAAGTGTGAAACAGGTGAACACGTTTGTAAATGGATTTAAACACATCCCTGAAAATAATTTGCATGTTCATTTTTATTTTTATGAAATAGAAATAAAGTTTATGACAAGTTCAAGCATGAACAAAAGGTCTGTTTCCTTATAAACCAGTAATATAAATCAGTAACGTATCCCTCGAAAGAATCATTCGCACATATCAAATCATTAACGTACAATTGTTGTATATTTTTATCAATATACGTCAAAATTCTACCCCAACAACCTATCATTTTTAGAACACATTTCTCTTGTTTAAATCAGGGAATCTTTTAGATTTGTTGTTTCAAATTGGATGTAAACTTGTCTTATTATTACTTTCTTATTTTGTGTGTATTAGTGCCACCAAGTTCTATCACAGTCACCTATGATTATGTGCAATACAACGACGGAGCTGTCTTCTCCGTGGTTACTGGGAATGATCGTCACTTCACCTGCTCCACACCAGGTGTTAAACCTGCAGCTACCTTTAGCTTCAAGTTGTTGAATGTGAACACGACAGAGGAGCTTCAAGGGACTGTACTGAATTCTTCAAACGTTCAGGACAACAGATTGGTGGACAGCTCATTTTTTACCACTGTCGATGTCACCGACATTCCAGCAACACTGCAGCTGTCGTGTGATGCAAATAATAAACCAGATGGGTTGAATGAGGCAGGGATTGGAGCCATTGTCACGATTGAGGTTAAAGGTAGGTATGCTTACAGAGACGTTGCATGAATTGTGGAAAATGTTCCCTTCCAATGCACGTAGGCCCTATGGTGTTTACAAAACTTTGTTTTATGATAATACAGCGCAGTATTTCCACAGACACAACAAACCAAATGTTACTTCAGTATTTTACACGAAAATAACAAAATGAAGTATTTCTTGCTGAAAGCGAATAGATGCAATGAGGCATTAATTCAGGCAGACTCTTTGCAATACGATATATACACAAGGGAATTGAGGCCAAATGTTGCAGAGCATGCGATCAAAGGCTTGAGCCATCATGATACAGCTAAAGTGCAAAGAGCCGTGTGGTGCGTCTGCTTATCTTTGCTTTATTCCATCTTACTAAATTTTTCATGAGGCCTATCAACATGTTTCTCCTAACTAGAACTTGCAACTAGAACCTCCGTAACCATTTTAGAGTTTGCAATCGTTTTCAGGTTCGACTAAGAGGTCAACCTTTAGTTGAGCTCTTGTTTTCGATTCAGTCACAAGTAAAACTGTTTGAACAAATCAAGCCTACAATTCCAGAAAGCTATGAGATAATCGATACATTTATGAAGTAACAAACATTTTACTTTGCAGGCATACAGCAGACATTAGCATTTCAATAATATATGTACGTAAGAAATCAACCAAAGGTCCTTTATTCAAACTGACTCATCTTGAACAGAAACTTTCCCAAATGGAGATAAAATGCTTGCTATAAAAAAAAACAACGTCGGTTACGGTTGTTGGGGTTCATTTTGCAAGGAGTACGTTTTCCTTACACAAAATAATGCATTGCTTTCGAACATGTATTTCAGTTCCACCAAAGACGTCACAAATTGCAATATCTGATGCCGATGGTCAGGATCTCGTCGATGGAACAGCAATTGTTGAGCAAGGGAGGGGGCACATGTTTACGTGTGTAGTTCAAGGGTCCCGACCCGCTGCCGAAGTCAGGTGGTTCCTTGGTGGGGTACCGCAACTCTTAGAGGTTGAAAGTAGTGTCGATCGAAATGCCAGTAATGACTTGTATGACACCAGCAGCAACTGGACATTCATCCCTACCAGAAACCAACATGGGTTGGAGGTAAGGTGCGAAGCAAGCACAGCCGATTCGGTGGATCCACTGCCACACACCGTGATCAAGTTGGACGTCTACGGTATGGTTTGTGCTTTTGTTTTCTTGGCACCTGCTTGTGCTTTTGTTTTCTTGCTTGTCTCAAAGAATGCATCTCTGAAACCTGTATTTATGCATTGTGTGGCTCTCTGATTCATGGCCAACCACATTATGTACAGATTATATTCTTGTTTCACAGCAAAATGTCCAAAGCTTCCAATCCTATTTTATGTCATCCCTTGAGTTTGTATGCCAAGCCATTCTGAAAATTCAACAATAAAATTCGTCGCAAGCAGACAAATTGCAAACAGCTACAGCACGTATTTCCATCATTTACTTCGAACTTTGGAATATGTTTCTCCACCGAATTCACCTTTAATCTCCAACCACTATCATGTATCGTGTATTAATATCACGCATAGTTAATGATTAATAAAGGTTTAAAGGTAAAAATTAGTGTTTAACGATTAGATATTCCACAGATTAGATTGACATCAGGACCAATAATTTCTTTTTGTTTATTTTTCAATCAGAAGACTTTGATTTTTTTTTTCAGGACCACCTGGGTTCCCCACAATAACAGGCGACAAGAACATGGTTGAAGATATGACAACTACATTAACATGCACGGCAGACGGTGGATATCCAGATGACTGGAACCTGGTCTGGTACAACAGAAATGCTGCCTTCAACATGAGCACGACCACAGTGTCGAATTCGACTAATGGTCGATTTATGTTTACCAGTGTGTTGCTGTTGACGCCCAATAGAGCTGACAACGAAATGAACATCACGTGTTTTGCGAAGAGAGGTTCATGGAGTGGTGATGAATCAAGTGTTTGGGGACCTGTCAATGTTCGATGTGAGTCATGTGGTTGGGCAATTCAATGAAATTAAAAGACGAACAAAAATTATGCATGGACCAATTTCAAAGTACTGCAACAAACTGATTTTCAGCAAAATGTAGCGTCAATTTTCACAGACACAGAATGCATCATCACAAATGTGATTTTCAAAGTTAAAAGGCATTGAATTTTGATTTGTGGGCGACAAAAGTAGCACCAGTGAGAAGGCGCGGAACCAGGGATGATTCCATTTAGGTCAGACCAGGGATGTTTTTAGTGTCTTACTTTCGCTGACAAGCGGAAACCATGATGAAACATGACAAACATTACTTTAGCTATGTTTTCTCCCCCCCCCCTTTTGGCCTTTTTCTTGTCTTGGGGTTTCCACCAACCCTACCCCCGTGATCGCACCTGCAAAGGTTTTTGTCACAAAGGTTGGTAAGATATTCCTTCCAAGCATAGCTGTATTCCATCTTAACCATATGATTTATCGATCACAGCCAAAAAGCTATGTATCTGCGAATCATTTTCTCTCCTGTTTTCCAGTTTGTACATCCAACGTTCGTGTGACAGACTGTCCATTCGTAGCTGTAGCAGGATTAGATCTGACGCTCAGCTGTGTATCTGAGACTAGTAACCCACCCACAACACTTGTCTGGTTAACAGACAATGACAGCAATCTCACAAGCCCTTCAAATCAATCGAATTACTCTGTTGGAGGATATGGCGGAACAGTCACATTACAGACATACACGACAGGTATCCTGAGCGTAAGCAACAGTGGCGATGTGTTGCAGTGTTGTGCTACAAACTCTGCATTAGACTACTGTTCTCAGAACGTCTGCGACTCGTGCGCCCTCAACGTTCAGTGTATGTAGTTGTTCAGTGTTTGTCCTGTAGTCAAAGTAATTGATGTCATTACCGTTCCCTGACAAGAAAATATTTTCAAAAATGTGGCGTGTATTCAATTTATGCTTCAGGCTTTGGGCAAGTATTGACTGCTCTGGAAAGGGAACCCTGAAATGCTTACTGGTCTCTATATTTTCTTTTGTTTGTTTTTGTGTTTTCTCTTATTTCACAGTACCAGCCGCTCTGACGGTTACCAGTGAACCATGGGTTACAATTAGAACCGATACAACACTTGCCTGCTTTGGTACTGAGATTGACTCCAGAACACTGAATTCCCTCACATGGCTACGGAGTCAAGTTAATAATTCAGATGTCCACAGTGCAACCCAGCTCGTAAAATACACGAGAGGAAATCTTGAGTTCGCTGATGGTATCGATAGCAACCATTATGAGTTTCAAACATCAAATGGCATCTTCACACTGACCATAAAGTCCGTGTCCCTGGAGGACGATGGTAAATATTGGTGTGACATCATCGAGTCCCCTCCAAATCCTGCAACAGAGGATACAGCATACGGTGTTCTCCGGACAAGAGGTAGTTACGTTTTGTGACAATGTGACTTTTTGAAATATGAAATATTCATATAAGTACCTTAACTAAACATAAGAACGACTGTGTTGTTAATGTTGGATACTTCCTCATACACATGTAACAAGTAGTCAGTGATTTGTGTATCTTACTCTCTTCCAAACACTTTTTTCATAATTAATTGCAGTTCCCCCCACTTGGGTTGAAATCACATATGACGGTGTTACGTACAGCGCCCTGGACACCGTCTCCGTTGTAGCTGGAACAAACCATATGTTCTCCTGTTGGGTTCCTGGTGTCAAACCAGAGGCCAACATCACTTTGACTCTCAGTGAAGGCAACAAAACCAAACAGCTTCTCGGGAACCAAACATACCGTCCAAACAGTGATGACAGTAGGCTGATGGATAGCTGTAACACGGTGTATATGTCCATTGCACAGAGCCCGGCTAAATCCCAATTGACATGCAGTGCTACTAACACACAAGATGGATCAACGAATCCTGACGTTTATGTCATTGTCAAACTCTCAATCAAAGGTATTTTGCCTTTGATTTTAAAAAGTTTAAAATTAATTATGTATTATGAATCGCCCGCTCCGTTGAAAGTTTTGGAGAGGTCATTCATAATTATGTCAATAAATCAAGCAAGGTACCACTTCACTAGTAGTTTAAAAGATGACAAGAAGTTTCCCAAAATCAACGGAAATTTGGTTATTTAAAACGTCTAAGTGAGGTCATTACCAGCCCATGACTTAAATTCTATTTCTGATGTCAAGTCTACTCAACAAACTAGTATTATTACATACATTTCGGCCCAACAAAGAAGACATAGGAAGAATAAACTCGACGATACAAGCAATAAAATGATATCAACATGAAATTTGTATTAGAAGGGACTCAGTTATCTCGTTTGATTGAAGAGTGCATCTTTGTATCATAATGATCATTCACATTTAAATACGAATGCCTTGCTGTGTGCAACAGTTCCACCAGGATTTCCCATGCTGTATGATATCACCGGTCCACTTAACACGGGGACGACGGTGTTGGTAAACCAGGGTGAAACATTCAACTTTACGTGCGAAGTACTAGGTACCAGACCAGCTGCATCTCTTGACTGGTATCTAAATGGCGTCAGGCAACTTGCTACGAACCAAACTACGACCTTGGATGATGCCACTGAACTATTTGATACTATGGGTGTTTGGACATTTATACCTGGGAGAGCAGATCACAAGCAGGAAGTAAAGTGTGAAGGGACGACAGCAGAATCACAAGTACCATTTCCAGCTGCAGTTGTCACCCTGGATGTCTATGGTATGATTGCATCTCAAGCAACAATATCAAACAAACTATATGCTTGAACTTGATAAGGGTGAAGGAAAGTTACGTTTAATGATGTTTTTGCTCCGTACAAAACAACATCGTATATACATCCCGTTAGTTTCAGATGTCATCTTTGTAAAGTTAAAAGAAAATTAAACAAGCATAACACAAATAAGCAAACAGGTAGACTCCTTTTGGGTGACCAATTACGTTTAGCAAATCACATTGTATTACTCCGGTCTTTTGGGTGGCCTACCTCATACCCTAGAGGTGAAAAAAATTGTCACTGTATTGTGTGACTTATGCACGATGTTTCATTCTACGAGTGAAGTCGTAGGACTTTGAAAGGGAGATGCTTTCTTTAGTCTTTCCTTTTTAAACAAGTCAAGTCTAAATATCTTTCATGCTTACCATGAGCCTCCAGATAATTAATTATATCACTTAACAGATAAAATGAACACATTTTTTTCTTTGCCTTGACCTTAGGGCCGCCAGACTCACCGACGATAACTGGCAACACACCGCTGATCGAGGGAGTCAACACCCTTCTGACATGCTCAGCTGACATGGGGTATCCTAATGATTGGATTTTGGTGTGGTACACGGGTGAAATACTTCAAAATAATACCATTACCGTGGCAACATCTTCAAGTGATCGCTACAAGTTTCAGAGTACATTGGATTTTACACCAGAGAGAGATCTCAATGGCAAGTCCATCAAGTGTTCAGCCAAAAGAGGATCACTGACCACTGGTCCAGATGGTGGCATAGGTCCAGTAGCGGTTCAGTGTAAGCGATGATTTGAATTATTCCGTATTAGTTTGTGTCAAACAAGCTCGTAGACACTGGTATTTTGGCCTTTGCCGTGGAACTTGTGAGATACAGCAGTTACTCTAACTTTACCAAACAATTGCTAATGAGTTCAGTGCTTTTGCTTGATTTCAGTTTGTGCTTGGACTGTGAGTATCGTTAAATATCCCCTCGCAGTGTTAGAAGGCAGTGCAGCGTCGCTTACCTGTACTTCGGAAAGTAGCAATCCAGCTGCTACACTGATATGGTCAAAGGATGGTATTACCCTGCCAACCTTCACCGATCACGTGGTGACCGACGGTGAGTATGGTGGCAAGGTGACATCGCTTACCATCAACATTGAGGCTCTGACAAGACAAAACAACGGGGAAGTGTTACAATGCTGTATCAACTCATACGAGTTGGCTTGCCCAGACACTGTATGCGCGAACTACACACTGAATGTCCTTTGTGAGTACATTTGTCAATCTTTTCGTTTTACTTCATTCAAGCCAATGTTTTGTCAGCCCTCACTCGATCAATGCTTAACAACACCGGTTCAGGCGCGGTCAAGTTGCCTTTAAGTAAATAAAACCCATCACCGTTTGAGCGGCGAATGAATTGCTTCAATAGCTCTTTACTCAAAATGAAATTTTCTTTACAGTATTATTTTGTAATACCTCTGGAATTCAACCTGTCAACTTGTAATAGATTCTTCTGACGGTAATTTATCCTTTCTCCAAGGGTCCAGCTTTTGTATATATATAATGCATTAAGCAACTTCAATCTAACCTCATCAGATGTTTAAATCCCTCAGATGTCCCAATGTTCATCTTGCCCGTAATGCCTTCTAGTCAAACCGTCAACGAAGGTGACAACATGACCCTTACATGTATTGCAGACGCTAACCCGAAGCCCAACGGCTTCATTATCTGGGAGAAGTTTAAAGATGGAAAATGGACGCAGGTAGACGTTGAAGATGGAGAAACCGCTGACGGCTGTAGTAACCTGAATTTGAATGTCATAGCACGACACCAAGCTGGACGATACAGATGTAAAGCAGACAATGGTTTGCATCAGGACGAATACAGGAAATACTCATCGTCAATGACTGTCATTGTTTACTGTGAGTTTACTTTTATAGTGTTGGTACTGACTTTTGAAGACACGATTTCCTTTACTTAAACAAAAGGAAATGCATATTTATAAACGGCATCCAAAGTTGAATGACCTCAATTTTATTTTAATGAGTTCTATTCCGTTTTCGAAGCTGTAGTAAAACCAATGATAATGTAGATTTTGGTAAAGCTAAACATTAATCCGTATAGGAAAAGAGTTTAGAGATCAAGTCCAGCAATTTAGTTTAATTTTTTTTTCTATTGAAATTGTTTTTGCAATAATAATAACAACACTTAGTATATCACTTCCACTTAATCTACAGACGAGGCCCGTATCTCAATGAAGACACCCAATCACCTGGTTATCAAAAACGGAACAGACGCCGTGATGTCGTGTACAGCATCAGGCAATCCTGCACCTACCATAGAGTGGTTTAGTCCAAGTAATGCATCGATAACCAATGGCACTGATCTGAAGAAGTTCCTGCTGGAATCTTCCACTAGCGCCGGGAATCAGCTAGGCGGTTTTGAGGTTTCCAGTGTTTTGACGATCATAGCACTGATTCATCAATTTGACTATGGAACGTACACCTGTACAACCTCGAACGGAGTTGGGCAAGATGATTCGCTGAAATTGACCATCACTGACACGAGTAAGAAACCAGAACAAATTTTGCAATTGATGACATCTGGTAATGATAACTTACCTAACTTTTACATTTCTTATCAATTCCTAATATAGTCATATATTTGAGTCTTCATTAAACGTTTGCTAGAAAGATTAGCACTTGTGAGGTAATCTGACAAGTTGACCGTTTGTGACAAGAAAATAATAAGTAATAAGATTACCAAATAAGATTCTGATTACAGTAGAGCTATTACATTGAAAGTGCTTTCCAAAAGCATCGTTTACACCCGAAAGTTGCAAGCACCTACATAGGCAGTTGGTTTTCTATGAACAATTTAGGAATACCTGACAAGCCAACCAATGTCGAGGTAGTTGGTAGAACCTCAAGCTCCCTAGTTATCAGATGGAGGCCGGCCTATGATGGAGGGGAAGATCAGACGTTCCTTATCACTCATATAAAGACATCTGAGTCTCCATTCTTGGAGGTATACAGTGGACAGGTGGATGGAGACCGGAGTTCCTTCACCATTGTAGGGCTGGAATCGTCTACTGAGTATGAAATCAGAGTCTACGGTGAAAATTCAGTTGGTAGGAATGAAGACTACGGACATACAACAGGAAACACATTGAGTAAGTGAAAAATACCGCGTCAAAGATCGAATGCTTAAACGGAAATAAGGACTTTAAATAGACAGATTTCAAATATAACATTCGAAAAACAACTTGTGTGCAGTTTTTGATAAATAATACGTATACAGTTGGAGTATAATCATTTTACTTTTTTTGTTTCAGAAATTATGGTTACCGAAATACCATCCACAGAAAAATCCTGTAAGTAGAGGGCATTTTTTTCTTTCAAGTCAGCAATGAAAACATTTCATTTTACCAATTCATCCATCATCTGTTTGAGAATTTTGATGTCAAACGTGGAAAAGAACGTGTTGCCATTCTAGTAATGACTACAGTTTTTTGTGTAAAAGCAAAAAATGGCTGTCAACTTTATTAGCTTGAGCTGGGAATAATCTAAAGCGGTGATGCCGGCAAGAACCTTAAACATTCTTACGGCATTTCCAATTTCCATATTTTTTGAAACCTAAATCCATTTAACAGAACATTTCAGTTTCCTTCTTGTTTCCATTTTTAGCTAACGTCAACATTGGTGGTATAGCAGGTGGTGCTATCCTTTGCTTTGGTATTCTGGTGTTACTTTTTGTGCTCGAAATTTTTCTGAGACGAAGAACACTGAAGAAGCGAGCGGAAGGTACTTAGACATTTTAAACAGTTTAATTTGGTTCTTTTTAACTTTTTTAACTGCTTCTGTGCAGTCAGGTGGAACGAGGATGCAGCTAGTGGATCCACCTGGGTACTGATGCATGTCCCTTCTGGACACCTCAACATCAAGAAACAAAATGCTGCCATTCCTCTCTTGTTCCATGGTGAATTTGATGCTGCTGGATGATGGCAGCCTTGCCCGGAGGGTTTATTGCAAGCCCACCCACACCGACCGGTACCTCAATAGCGCCTCCTTCCACCACCCCAAGATCAAGTCACCGGCCAACAGAGCCCTCATTCGCCGAGCCTACAACATCTGCGACCAAGAGCACTTACACGAGAAACGCTACCACATCTTCACGGCACTCCAACGCAACAGATGCCAGCCCAAGTAGATCAAGACTCAATACCCAAGATCAAGTACCCCCGGCCGTAGGGTCCCCTATACCCAAAGCCAACTAGATAAGGCCCCTAGTTCGCTCACTCACCCCTACCTCCCACCACATCCAACGAATCCTGAGCAAGCACAACATCAAGGTGTTCCACACAGCTCCCCTCAACATCCACGGGATGCTGGCTTCCTATAAGGACAGGCAAGATCCACACTGCCGACCAGGTGTGTTCAAGATCCCCTGCCAGTGTGGCAAAGTGTACATCGGAGAGACTGGAAGGGACCTCCCTACCAGAATCAAGGAACACAAAGCCCATGGCAGGAAGGGGGACTATGAGAAATCAGCCATCATCAAGCATCCCCACGCCGAAGACCACACCATCAAGTGGGAAGAAGCCCACCTTGTCGCTAGCATCGAACAGTGGTACCCAAGACGCACTAGAGAAGCCTTGGAAATCTCCAAACACCCAACCGTGCCTCAAGACATCGGCTTCTCCATCAGCGACATCTGGCAGCCCCTGCTCACCTCCCGGTCCAATGGGTCCTCTATACCCTAGCCCCCCATGGGTCTCCTATACCCAGGCAACCTTCCCCCACCACAGCCCATGACCAACTGCCATGCATCAGTACCCAGGTAGATCCACCAGCTGCATCCTCATTCCACCTGACTACACAGTAGGATCCGTCACACTCCAGTACTCCCAATCAGCTTATAAGCCCCACTCTATATCGGCATCTCTTCAGTCTCCTGACGAAGGGCAGAGAATACTGTCCGAAACGTTGAGTTCCTCACGGTTCTTTTCAGAACGATACAGACTCAAAAAAAGGATCGTATCCTTGCATGGTGCTACCGCAAACTTTCCACTTTAGTTGTCTGTCACCATGAATAGCTTGAAATCCCATCAATCGTAACTTCTGCAAACATTTTTTGACAAGAATTATCCTGTTGTCTTATTTCAGAGAAGTTGGAAGCAGCGAAAAAATCATTAAACTGGTAAGACTCTGCAAGGGTAACTGAAAGCGTTGAAGAGAGTCGCATTTACTCAGCCAATCTGTGCTGGGTGGTTCCGTGCTTTTGTTTGTTAGTCATTACCTCTTTCATCGACTAATTTTTATATGAAGCAGACAATTATTCCAGAGCTAAATGATTTTTGTTAATTCCCTTTCTGTACTCAAAGCAAACAGCTAACCCAGGAGACTGCTTTCACTTACGTTGAAGCAAATGTTATAAATGTTCTGATTAAATGCAGAATGCTTGTTAGATTATTATAACAATTTTTGTTTTTATCTTGGACAGTGGCTATGAGATCCCCAGGAAGACATTAGAGGAAACTTCTTACAATATAATTGAAGGTGAGCAGAGTCTTCAAGAACTGACTATGTGTTTCATTTGAGATAAAAGATAAAACTGTTTCGTGTAAGTGAATGAATGGGTCCAATGCACTATTGTTAGAAACCACGTTCAGCCATTCCAACAAGGAGCAAGAGAGTTCCATCAACAGTGATACCTCAGAGTGGGAAGACGATTTTCAACTTGATGATCAATCGACGGGTAGCAAAGACGATGACAACCTTCCGCCCAAACAAAATCATTCAGACGGACCCAGTGTGTACCAAGATATCTCAGGTAACATAGTAAACATTGGTAAAATACGTTAATGAAACACGTACTTCAACACTACAAGTGATGATGGAATCAATCAACTTTGTAAAACATTGGTGGATTAGACCGAATCAGTGCATGATTACATATACCATTGTCATCTAGATCAATTTGTATCGAAGGAATTCCTATGCGAATGCTTTCGACAAACATAAGGTACTATTGAAAATTATTCGTTTTAAATCACTAAAACTTTCATTGTCATTTGTCAAAGGTCTAATTGACAAAAAATCGGGAGTCAAGGAAAAAATTATTAAAAAGACTTACCGTTTTGAAAAAAATACTTCTAAGGTGTATTTTTATTGTTTCAGAATTTCGCAAGCTACCGTCTAATGGGTGAGTTTTTCATGTGAAAGCCTCTCAGGAAGCCGTTACTTCGATTTAAAATGAGAGAGTTGGACGTTTTATTTTTGATCATTGTTGACAGAAAATGAAGGGACTTAATCATTTCATCATTGTTATTTGCATCAGTAGTTCTCTTGTCAAAGGCGTAACCAGAGTTGTGAGCGGGCTGACAAGTAGTGTTTGTGGATTAGTAGCCTTATGGAACATACGTCCTTACATATTACGTTGCTGAAACTTAAATATTGATGTGACAGTCAGTCCAATTTTTCCTCCACCCCTTCAATGACATTAATTTATCATTTTTTTCTGAAATCAGTCCAGAGCTTGCTTTACCGACATTGCGAGAGAGTTGTCTGGAACAAAATATCTACCAGTCAATCTCAGGTAAAATTATGAGACTTTAAACTTGATCCAGTCATTTCCTCTATGGCATATGTGAACACCGTTGTTTAATGCAGTGGCCCTCAATATGGTGAACATCAATTGTCCAACTTATTTTTATCACACATAAAATAGAAATAAAGCAAATGAATAGTTTCCATTGAGGCCAATTGATTTTCTTTCTTAAAATCTCCAAAGAACGAGAAACTCCCCAGTATGGCAATGTGGCCCATCCTGATAAAGCTTTTCCCAGGGGAAATCTGAAAATCATCAAAGAGCTTGGCCGGGGAACCTTCAGTCGGGTGTTACTTGCTGATGCAGATGGTATTGTTGACGGGGCGAAGGTCACGTTGGTCGCCGTCAAAACAGTCCATGGTATGTTTCGATTGTGCTGTTTCTCTGTTCCTGCATAAGGAGACAATATTTTGTCAAAGGCATAAAGGGAAAATGAGATTCCTAAATTACAAGACTGCTCAACACAAGAATAAAAAGAATATGAATGGATCTGAGCAGACTACTTCTTCCATAAAGCTCAACTGAAGGGAACACATTATATGATTTGATGATGTCAGTCAACCTTTTGTTGTAACATTGACTTTATTAGAAAACAGAGAAAATTTCAAGCGTGTAAAGTAAAAAGCACTCCAAATTAGTTCAAGATATTCCAGTTTCGTGTTGATTGTTACCAATTTGCATAGGGGAGGCGACTGAAGCTGACAAGGCGGCAATGTTGAAGGAGCTGAATGTGATGAAAACTCTGCCAGATCATCCGAATATAATTCAACTGCTCGGTTACTGCACAGATCAAGGTAAATTGCCAAATAACCTGTTCTGGAATAACCTGACGGTTCAGGAGAAGAGGAGTTAGATTCATGAAATTGATTAATTTTGGTTCTTGTTTTACTATAAACAAATTTTGTAGCCTCCAAAGACTGTGACTTTTTTTTCATTCCATCATGTATGGCAGACCCTCCCTACATCATCTTGGAGTTCTTAGCAAAGGGAAACCTAAAGGACTTCCTACACTACAGTCGAAGTCAGTGTGGATTGATGTATGGTAATTTGCGTGGCTTAAGCAAATCACTGTCACCCAAACATTTCCTGAAGTTTGCAAAGGATGTTGCCGATGGTATGGAATTCATAGCCTCACAACAGGTAATGACTGAGTAAGGGGAACCGAATGACATTGACGAAATTTAAAAGTGATCAAGGGTGGACCCAGAACCATGCTTATGAGCAGGGGCAAACGTTTATGGTGGGATGAAACATTTGGAAGTTTCAACTGACTCTTTCTTGCCTTTTCGGGTTGAAGCTACGTGGGCTTTTCACTTGATTTCAGTAGGAAGAAAAAATTAAAACAGACCAAACAGTTCGTTTTTTTTGTCGTTAAGTCTCAAGATGGTGGCTTTCTAGAGCAGGGGCATGGCTCTCACTCCCCTCGTGATCAACTTTAATAAATAGTGGCTTCCAGCCCCTTAGCACCACATTTCCAAATTAAAAAGATAACTGTTGGTGTAGTGATCATTGCTCCTGAAGACCAGACAAGAGGACAGTTTGTAGAACAATTCCATTGTTTACAACAAGGTGTCAAAGTGAAATTTCATTCTGTCAATATCAAATAACTAGTCCTTGACAGAAGATGACAAAAATAAATAGATACCCATTATAAACATTGTTAGCTGCCATTGAATCAATGATAAGTGAGTGCATCTATTTATTTAGTGTATCCATAGGGACCTGGCTGCCCGCAACGTACTTGTGGCAGACGACTTGACTTGTAAAGTGGCTGATTTCGGACTCGCTCGGGACATCATGAACACCAGGCTGTATGAGAGACGATCAGCAGTACGATGGTTTTAGTTTTGAACTTAATTGTATTTTACTCTGCATTTGGAGATTGAATGTATGTGCAGATGTTTTCCTCAACAGGGAGGAGTTAGTAAATGATTAAGAATACACACCTTTTTTGAGATATACTTAGAGGGAAGCCATCTTTCGTATGATGGTTTTATACAGAAGATTATCAGGTAACAATTTATAGATTTACAGCCAGTTGCCTCGAGAAAAATAGATACCAGATGCCAATATATCGTCTGACACCGGCAATCAATTGCAAGTGAGTGTCAATGAAAACTGGAAAATAAATCAACAATTTCGGTTACACGAATTATCACGCAGTAGTCAATGCACACAAATGAGATCACTTCCTGAACGACCGACTTGGTATGTTGGTGACGATATCAGAAACCACTGTCACCACATTACACCTTTGACTCCCTCAATTTAATTAGTATAACTAGTTCCTTTACTTAACATTTTTTAGTGTCAACTACCTCTCCGCTGGATGGCCTTAGAGACAATTATTGATGACGTGTACACAACAGAGAGTGACGTATGGTCTTTTGGTGTGCTTTTATGGGAAATTGTGACTTTTGGTAAGGATATGCACTGTTAAATGGAAGTTAAAATTAAGACCTGACAACTTTGAACTTCGACTGGTTGATAACCATGGAAAGGCTAAAGGACCGCTTTAAGTAGGCTTTTCACCCAGTTTGATTTCTTATATTGCCGGTCACAGTGTTATTAATTTCGTCTAAGTTCTTGGATGGTTTTATTTCTATAGGCGCCCGCCCGTATCCTAATATGCACCACACGACCATGATCGCAGAGCTACAGAAAGGCTATCGTATGCCCAAACCACTACACTGCACGACCAAATTGTGAGTAAACCGTTCAATGGTTTGGACAAGTGTGGGGGGAACAGAATACCTCCGTGTAATGTCACTGTGAATTGGATCTTCCAACTCTGCCAGACGAATTCCGTCTTTAGAATTATTTAAGCACAGTCATTAAATTGCCAACACTTTTTTCCATTGCCCATAGTCTTCTACAATCAGTATTCAACCAACAGCTAGATCTTCATTTTCTGTTGGAGAGAAAGATTTGTGGAAGTTTTTATGTAAAACATAAGCACCCCTCTGTTATAAATTATTTTTGAAGGAATCTGCATGCAAACTCTTCGGTGTTCCAGGATTTTTTTCCTTGTTTATTCTTCAGGTATCGCATGATGCTGAAATGCTGGCGTATGGGTCCCGAGAGACGTCCTACTTTTACTCAGATCAGTGACAAGTTAAAGAAACTCCTACGAGAGAGAAAAGTACAAGCTCATCTATTTTTTAAAATTTAATCATGGTCGCATGAGGCTATTTACATCTGCTCCATTTATTATAGAATACCTGAGACAGATTTGCCACTCATTATATTCGGTCTTTAATGATTGATAAAGCGCCCTCTCGCAGAGACACAAACCATTAAGATGCTACTGAAGTAAAGTTGGTGAACAGCGTCGGAATTTATTCATAATTTTGTATTTACTAGTTTTTTAAATTTAATGGGATAGTTATTATCTTGATGGGTCTTAAACATAGGTTTAATAAGACCAGCCCAGGAAGATGTCTGAATAAGACTAATGCTTCGGCCAACTCCCTGAATGAAGTTGCTCTTTGCGTCAGCCATGCATATCGCATTGACTATACATTTTTGTTCTTTTCTTCAGGAATGCATTTCAATGAGAGACTTTGTGGAGCATATTTATGAGGTCACGGTCCCACATGGCGATCATGAAAAGGTTTGAATGTACATCGCCAGTCCACCTTTGATGTGGAACTGCTCTTCTGAGGATGTCATCATAAAATCAAAAACTAGAAACCAAAAAGGTGTGATGTCTTAAAAATACTTCACCCAGAACTTTACATTAGATTGATATTAGCTTTAAATTTTCACTTGACACAAAAACGCTTTTCACTCAATACGAGAAAGTAGTTAAAATTACTGAAATTTCATAAGATAACTGATGATTCTTTGGAATACATGATTTCAAATTAAACACAATGAAACGGCAGTTCAAGTCAACAGTTATTATTCCGTTCATTCTGAAAGCTCCTTCGATTTTCTTGACGTTCTACTTTTTAGAAAGTTGGATTTTATGTTTTAAGAAGTCCGTGCTGTTTTTTGGGCAAAATGTGCTAAACATCTCAGTGGTTGTGTGCGCTTATAACTGTATTTGGCGAACCCAAGGCGGGTCTACTGTATTATGTAAAATGGAATTTGAGGGTGGATATCGCAGGGCAGTAGTACTTCTTTTCTTCTCTAAAAATCAAATAAAATTATTAACCATGACCTGATCGTTGTGCCCGTCGGTTTCACAGATATTTCACCGATTGTTCGTTTTTGAAAAAGTTCAATATTTGTCACTTGAACCAGTGTGTAGGGTTGACTGAAAAGGAATACTGAGGGTTTCATTAATTTATAAAATGTATTTGTCACTCATCTGGGGATTTGAGGAGCCATTGTAGTTATTTATTAGACACTATAAGTAGAACTCAACATATGGGCTATTACCTGTGGCCATGCAATCTTTGAAAAAAAAAACATTGCCTCAAGAAGCAAACATTCTACACTTAGACCAATCATATGATACCACAAAATGCCTTGATATCACACATTATATTCAATTAGAATTTGGGAGACTCGTTATGGTTTTTGTCAAAAGATAAGTGATTTATAAATCCTGTTTATGGAGTCTTTTGTGGAAATTGTTAATTCATGTTTATGGAGTATTTATATAGAAATTATTGAGGTAAATTTAGCAATCATTAGAGATTTGTTTCCCCTTTTTTTGCAAACCCCACTCTTGAATGTAGTGAACTATTCAAAACCAAATATTAATGGATAATAGTACGTACACTACAATGTTATGTAAATTAAGTATGTTTCAGTGACTTTGGTTCAAGGCACACCCATGTGTGTGTGCTGACAGGCACTACCATTGCAGTTTGAGTGGTGAAAAAATGGGTAGTCCACCTGTGTGGTGAGGTACAAAACACTGAGTGTATTGTACCTAGGGCCTGACCCTAAAAAAAAAACAGTTTGGAAAACTGTCTTTTTTTCCCTGAGGGGAATCAAAAGTCTTGTAGGTTCTGAGTAAACCATTTGCTTCTGTGTGGACAAGTCGCAACTACTTGACGGTTCTAGGTGAACCAGCCACTCCATCGGATTGAGGGGACACAGGCCTTTAAATAGGGTTCTCACGGACATTGTAGAATTTGCGGGAACATGTGCCCCTTCGGTAGCTTGGAGATTGACCCCTGCCCTGGGATTCATTGGCTCCTGAGTCAAAGTTTTCACTGACCCAGGGAACTGGCAACAACCTGGACATCTGTCAAGGGCATGCAAGCTCAAAGGGCGTGGCCATCACTGTCACCTTTGGATTGATGGATATGTGGTTCCTGAAGGGACCTGAATAATTGACGGGTCGGGTTGTAATTTTTTTCTTGTATGGTCGTGGGGTGTACAATTAGGATTTTAATTAATAAAAACCCTCCGATGCACCGACTTGCTATTTTACTGATCATGGACCCATGTCCGTCAGTGAGTTTGATCGACTTAAAATCATGCCCCCAGCCCCAAAGACCCTTTAATGGCATACAGTTTATTTAAAGGAGTCCCTGGGTGTCTGCCAATGCCTACCAATAAAAGAAACCGACAAGTAACATGCCAGAATAAGGTCACAGTACCTTTTTATCCAGGGGGGGATCAAGTCAACAAAAATGTGACACCTCCCGACACAACATGAAACAACTCAGACAGCTGCCTAGACAGCTCAGAGACACACCAGAGAGACTAACAATTGGTATATGGCAGGCTCTGGCCTTTGTGTAAAAAATCCCAGAGAGAGTGCAGAGAGATTAGGATGTATTCCTACTGGACGTAGCAAGAGGCTGGCTCTGGTGAAACTGATACCAGCCAAGGGGAAATCCCTACCAAGGCGACTAAACTAGGTTTAGCACCGGGAGAGGTAGGATTAGAAGTAGGGTCTTCGCATTTGGCCGTAAAAAAAATAATTAAAACAAAAATTTAAAAATGCCCTTCATTTGACGGAGGGCGCTCTACTCAAGTTAATTACAATTTTATGCACATAGGGATACTGCCAGTGCTTAAGGAAACTGGTGAAATCAGCACAATAATGTAATAATAGGAATCTAAAAAATAATTACATTTTGTGAAATTACAGAAAAGGTTAACAATTTATTAATTTGTTGGGTTTCTTTTAGCCCCAAGCTTGTCTGCCTACTACCGTACTGTTTAGAAGACTTTTCACTGTTGGTCTACTATGGGGAAAATGGACCCTACATTGTAAAATTGTATGTGAGGTACTATGTGTCAGACACACGCATTTAAATGTTGTAAATATGTTGGCTAGGCTTTGTTTTTCATTTTTCAAATTCCTTTTCTTTTTGCTATAAATCGTTTGTTTTTGATTCAATTATGTTCAGTTTTGCTCTTGGAAAGATATATCATATTTATAGAAACACTTTTGGCTACGTATACGTTGCAAATCCTGGATATTGGGACCAAAACACTTACATTAAAGCTATCTCTAGGGCAACATTTTAATCAGTTACAACAATAAGCTGATTTTTTACAAAGGTTGTATATGATAATGGCAACGGAGTGCTAATAAAAAGAGCTGAATTTCAAAGGCAATCAATCAATCCTAACATTGAGGGAGATATTTCAAAGATGGATTTGCGCCGGGGAGATGTAAATTTAGTTTCGATGTTTTTGCTCTGCCCGACGTGTATTTTTAAAAGAGTACGCATGTTGGTTCTTTTCACAAGCCTTCGGGGGGATACACTGAGCATACAGTGTTAGAAATACGCTTTGTAAAGGCAACAAATCCAGACTTAATTAACCGAGGGAGATGTTAAACGGATAGATATACATAGCTATTGTCAATTGGAAAGTTATGAGCCCGATTATCATGCACGGTGTCGCTTTTTTCTACTTTTAAATTAATGCTGATGAACCCTTGTAATGTTGGGTGAATAGTTACTCTAATTTTCCACTGTAGTTATTTATAGTGTGTAAAACACATGTGTGCTCTGTTGGAAAATAATCGATATGGTAATTATCAGCCACTTTGTATTTAAAAGTAATGGTTACTAGCTGTTATACTTTTACAATAGTTTAAAAATTAGGCTTCATTTCCACCAGTTTTCTTGCTTTTAAGGTGGATAGTTATCAAAAAGCAATCCACTGTTGAAAAACGAAATTAGATACGGTTTGTTTAGTTTCAAATACGTTTTAGCAAGGTGTTGGCCTTTGCTAAAGAGTTAAAAATACACTCCTACTTCAGTTATGCTAGAAGATTACGTTATTTGCCTTGTTAAAAGATCATTATTTACCAGACGTGAAATCAATACCTTATTTCGGCATGTAGATGGATTTCGTAGTAAATATTAAATTCGGAAACTGTTAAATTGGAAGCCATTATAACACCATCGGTGTATGTGATATAAATAATCAAGCTCAAAACACTGCACTTATATACAGAATAAAATACAGCAATATTATCATGCCAAGTATGCTTGTTGTGTTCAGTTCTCTATAACTTCAATTTAAAACGACACAGAGTTCATGTTTAAATCTTACGCGTTTATTCTAGTTATAACTTGAGGGCCTGAATAGAAATATTTCCGAGCATATATTAAACTTTTTTTTCATGCAAGGCTGAACTACTTTTCTGTTGCAGGATGGACTACACTTTAATAATCTCGAAAGAGGGCGCCAATTCTCATGATATGAAGGTATTTGCATTTTACCTAGATCTAGAGGACACTTGTGTCTGTTTCTAAGCTCCTTTCTTTCCCTGCTATGCAGGACGCGGTCTATTCACCTTATGCACTGCATATCACTCTCAGGAGCCCGATATTAGTGGGAAACTGACGCTACTTTGCGGTCTCAGTGAAAGCTAGTAAGCAAATTTTAGCCAATAGTATCACGTGGTCCTAGACTGCATTTCTACATATACACACGGAAATGGCTGACTCGCTGGGTACCATGCTTCTGCACTGTCTTACCATTGATCTGCTGTTTAGAGTACAAGGTAATGTGTTATGCATAAACTACTCAAAGGTAATAGGGAATTAAACAGAACAAACAACAAATCAAAGGACAAGCATGAAACTGTGCCGTTGCCTATGCATATAAGCATGAAAGTGTGCCGTTGCCTATGCATATACAATATCTGTTTGGAATTAATTATTTTTTGGTTTGTTTCGTTTGAATATGATAATTGATACTTGTAAATGTAAATGTGTTTTTGCTGGGGGTGGATGTTGGAGGTGTGGGGCTGGTTTTCCTTTTGTCCCTTTGATTGTTGGATTTCCATGATACAATTTTATGAGCATGTTATACCCAATCAAAATTTTCTTAAAGTCATAATGAAAGTAAAAGTTTTGAAATTGTACTTACATTTTGTATTTTACCTTTTGCATTTTATGAGGATATTTACACAGGGAAGAACCCGATTGCCAAAAAATCTTTACTATTACCCCGATTTCCATTATCCCAATAAGAAGGCAGAAAACCGCTTGGCGCATTTAGAGCAAAAAGGTTCCCCCCGTTCCAATTACATCCACAAAATGGACTATTGTCCCTCATTCTAAAACCGGGCTGAACGCCTGTATTGTTACTACCTGGAAAATGCTATCAATATACACTTCAGAAATGCTAATTACACAACTTCCATTGCCAATAACTTCCAAAGCTTTTTGCAGACAAACGTTTTCGAAGGTTAACAAATGACCAACTTTGCCATGGTTTCGGATTATTGGATAACCTGTAATGATGCAGTCAGGCTTTGGTACATGTACAGGTGCGTTTTTCTCTGGAACTTTGAATCCATTATCCCTGCTTAGCTCCCAATAGAAAAGGCACATGGAAACAAAATGTGACATCCTCAGTACTTAAGCTAATTACTGATAACTAGGGATTCTAAAGGAGTTGCTCAATTGGCCTTTAAACTATTTTCCTTTTATTCTTGATCTTACCAACAGCTTCTTTGGCACTTAAAATTAGCACCGACCAGTGGGTTACACGTGGCCACAACACAACAATTACTTGCTTGGATCTGCAACCATTCACATTCTTACAGCTTGAAAAGAGTGATCCTTCCGTTAGAAATGTTAATGAAGCAGACACTATCTTACAATACCAGCACGGTACAAGAATCGATGCAGTAATCTATTTCGACGGCTTCGATCCTAGCCATTACACTTTTCAGGAGTCAGGAGGAAACTATTTGTTGACGATTTGGACGGTTACATTGGATGATGATGGCAAGTATTGGTGTAACACAATCGAAGTGCCGCCTCCACCAAGTGGAACGGGAAGATTGGATGCCTCCAATATCACAAAGGTCAGAGGTAAGTCTTAATGAGGCTCTCTGATCTCTGAGGACTAAAGGCAAAACTTACCTCTATTGTCCAAACACTGAGAGTATTTCAACCTGTGTTACAGTCACATCCCGAGGGGAGGTAAAAGAATTTAGAGTTCCAGAAGTCACCAAACATTTTGAAGCTCATGCTTATTCCTTTAAGAAATGTAAGCTCCTGCTTAATCTTAAGAAATACATATATCTTGAGATAAATGTTTATTTGATTTTGTTTTTACTTACGGTGCAAGAGTATTCTGCTTTTCAACAGACACACACGGTAAGCAATTGGAATTTTGGATGTGCCTGTCAGTACTCTAGTTTACCAGTTTTAAAACAGAAATGTTGTTGAAGGCTTTTTACAAGTTTAGCTAAATTTTTTCTACTTTCGGCAGTGAAAGGGTCATTTTATGTTCAGTTTTTAAGTGCACATATTTCATTAGCACAACAAAGAACATTTACAGACTTGAAAAATTACACATTGTGGTTTTAGCATTCTGGAATATTGACGTGAGTTTGAAAGTATAAGATAATTGTCACATAGCCCGGAACCTGCACTGTAGTGGCAATGACTTGGGTGGTCACTGTAGCCATCGTAGCCACTGGCTTGGCGTAAGGTAAGGCAGCAGCTTTTTATCGGTTTGAGTAGTTCTGCTTAGTGTAGGACAGATTATGTATAAAGCTGGTTTTCGAATCACCGGACATGTACAGTGTGAAAATGTCAATACGCGAAATATTAAGATTATGACTGTTTCTTAAGTACAGTCAATACGCAAAATATTAAGATCATGACTGTTTCTTAAGTACAGTCAATACGCGAAATATTAAGATCATAACTGTTTCTTAAGTACAGTCAATACGCGAAATATTAAGATCATGACTGTTTCTTAAGTAAAGTTTCTGTTTTAATTACCATTACATTAAATTATATACATTACATTATATACACACTTGTTCCTGACTTGTGACTCTGTCTGGCATCTTGTATTATCTAACCTTTCGAAACATAAGTTGTCGGTCAGGTCTTGTAGCAGAAACGCTTAGGCCTAAATCCGATCAGCTATGTTATTAGTGTCTGCATGGTGTGTACGCACATCGACCCTTATTCACATGTCGGCCATATTTAATTGCAAGTGAGTCTAATTGGTTCATATAAGAACCCTAGGATAAAAATGAAAATAAATGTAAAAATGTAAACAAAACCTGAAAACATATAGTTGGTTTTATCGAAATATTTGAAAAAAAATTAAAAGAAACAAAAATGAATTAATGAACTCAAAACAGTCTGACACAACAACCCCATTTGACAGAATAAGAGTCAGGGAACTTGATTAACGGCCCTCTCAAGAATAAGTTGTATTCCTCTTTAAGGCTAAACACTGCCAAACTTTGTCCATCAATCCAAATCATTCAGTCAAATATTTCAGTTGTTCCAAACGTTTGTGAAGAGGAACCAAATGACACCCAATGGAACTGAGATTAACTGTGGAAGTGGTTATCTTGTATGTTTTTTCAGACGACGAAAACGTTCGTGGTATGCTGAATAGTTTGGTTCAAGGTCTAAAGAGAACATAGGTTGAAACAGTGACATTTATATCATGAACATCGACCTCTTTAAGTAGTCATATGATGTCAACCCCTCCCTTCAAATTTTCTTGGCCGCGTACGTAATCCACCCCAGCATTGCTATTCACATCTCCAATCCCCCAATTTGCAGCACAGTTTTACGCCACCATATGGAAATGTATCCTCTGTGGAAAGTAATGGAGCATTAAGCAGCATTTTAATTAGCGGAGGTGGTATTCACACAACGTTGATAGTGGGGAGAGCAAAGAATGCATTGATTTTCCAACGTGATTTTACAAGCTAAAGCATCAATTCCTAGTAAAAATGTTACTGCCTTGTTCAAACGAACTCTTTTAAACTCAAGTCTAGAACTAGGTACTGCGTACTGTTTTTTTTTTTCTGTTTATTATTTCTTCAGGTAATTATAAGGTAATTCAGGTAAATTATAATATTCAGGTAAATATACTGGGAGTTTTGCAGTGACGGGAGTTTGGCCTCAGCTGAAGATCACCCTTACCTTACCCCACATTCGTTGTAAAATCATACTGATTGTAAAAAGCTGCAGGTACCGCTCGAAGTTGAGAGTTCACGAGAAATTCAAAACCCTTCAGACTCGCATTTCCGTGTTTAAAACGCCTAGTACACGTGGTAACATAGCAAATTGAAAGGTTTAGAAGAGGGCTGTTTTGCTTTGCCTCCTGTTCTGTAGTTGTCTATGGCGCGGACAACCCTCTCTGTTGTCCTGACAGTGGGACTTTAGTGTCTGCCCAAGGGTAAGAAACAAATCATTATTGGATTTAATCGTTTTAGAATCGAGAAACCCATTTTGGAAAAGAAAGAAAACACAGGAGTGTTTATTTTTCCCTACATTTGCAGGCATAATTGATTTCAAAACTTAACAGCTCAAAGTCTTGCTAAAGTTTATAATTTTACATATGCGGGAAATTTGTCTGCGTTGCTGTCTTTGTCAATTAAATCCAAACTAAAATTGATCTTGATTTAATTTCCTCAAGGGGCTTCACCCCAGGACATCATCGTCACAACAGCAGCATGGGCTGATATCAACCAGCCAGCTATCATGACCTGTAATGTGCAAAGTAACAGCGTATTAGATTTGGAGTGGGTAAAGACAAACTAAAATGCGGCAAATGTCGTTGGAGGCCCCCTCATCTACAGGTATGACACAGCCCTCAGCTCACCTGTATCTCCTGGACCTATCAATGTATCTCGCTATGGGTTTGTAGTCGTTGGGGATTTTCCTCTGACTATCAAGTCGGTTGAAGAAACTGATGAAGGGAAACACTAGTGTGCTGTCACTACGAATGTTTTCAACCAACTCCGAGACAGTTTAATTCTAAGGGTTTGAGGATGTTATATCCATCAATTAGCAAAATGTGATAGAGGTTTATTAGCACGTCCATGTGAACAAAGTATTCATCTGAAACCTGCCTCACTCTCAGATGAAGTCGTTTGTATGTAAACGTTTGGTTAATTCACAACATGAACTTTCATTCCTAAATAGGATTGCGGTTTCTTATTGCCCTGGTTAGTGAATATTTAGATTTAGATT